TGATATGACTTTAATGTATATTCTAAAATTTAAAATGGAAATTATCTAAAAATTTATATATCGAAATTAGAAATATAGCTAATATAGTAACCTTAAGTAAGTACTCACTTTTATAATGAATATAAAAACAAATCTAACATCCTTTCTCTTCTATGACCATATTTATTTTTAGGGTAATAATTTCCAGTTAACGATTTAAGCTATAAATAACTTGGGAAAATGTTAGTTCCGCCTTACCACTTTTTCTTTTCAAGGCTCCTCCTCCTTTGGCTCCGTGAAAGTAAACCAAGTAAATGATAATTTAATGAACGGCTATTAAATGTCAGTCAATGCCATTTGCTGGGGGTCATAGCCAATATAGCCACTAACGTTTTTTGCATTTTTAATGAACTTCAATCCCCCTGAGCGTTTTCCTGTGGCAGAAAATCAATTTCAACGCCGGCAAGGCCAGAGATTCTTTAAATTTTGCACATACTCAAGGGTGAGAATATATTGCTAGTGTGTCGACAGTTGGCAGGGACATAAAGCCTAATTACGAAGCGTTCTTTAATTAGTGCCCTCGACTTAATTACAAAACTGCAAACTCAACAAAGGCAAAAGCAAAATCTGCAACAATAACGAACTCGGGCTGCTGCCCCAGGATCCATGCCCCTTGGTAGACAATTAACTGGCTCTAAAATGTGTATGTGTTTATTTTTTTTTGTGTGTGTGTGTGTATTTGCGGCAACAGCTTGTTGACATCGTCCTTTAAAACGCCCAAAAGTCTGCTTTGTCCCTGGATATTCAACACATTCGCAAGTTGGAGTGGAGCCAGTCCAACGAGGTCTAAATAAGGGTTAAATTGTCTGAATTAATGTTACATTTTTGTTGACAACCCTCGTTAACCATATTAAACACAGGCAACATAAATTATTTAATACATTTAAAGCCAGCTTTAAATATAAATGCACAGTGGAAACGTATTTGTACTTGTACATGTTTTTGTGAGGAATTTAAAAGACTTTTTAACAGAAGACTTCAACACATTTTTACATTTTTAACAAAACTATTTAGTCTGTTTATTAAAGCAATATATCTGTTGCAAAAGCTCACTAAATTTGACCCTACACAGTCCTGATTACCCATTATCAACTTTTGTGAAAAAGCAGAAGCAAACAAAAACTTGGATTGCTAATAGAAAAATCAATGTCGAAATGTAAATTAGGGGCCCACCGCAAGGCCATTTGAATAAATATATTCACAAATCATGCAATTTCCTGCCAACTTTGACTGAATCTCCAAGGAAAAAAATAAATTCAATATAAACGCAAATTATTTTTGCTGTCCAGTGGGGGGAAAATCATAAAAAATAAGAAGTGGAGCTGTGGAAAAAGTATATGCCATTTGTGGCTGTTTGCGTTTGGTTTTTATGTCCTGCCGGCCACGCATAAATCTGACGGTCAACCTGACGTGTTCGACACTCCCATTTAAAGTTGCCTTACCTGCGTGTGTGTCCGCTTAAAGCCACCTGAGTATTGTTTAATATTTGAAGTCATTTAAAAAGAAAACAAATATTTTCAACTCACCAAATGGTTGTTTTAAGTCTTCAATTTATGTTTTTATTACTTTATACCGCAACCAATCCGATTTGGCTACCCGAAATACTACCATTTATTAAAGAAAATGTAATAATGGAAACAATAAGTTGCCGTCATTTAATACCTCTATCTATTTTCCACCCTCGCCACCAGCTAACGTTAAATAAAATTCATCATACGCCACGTAGCCGCTCCTGGCTGCAAAGGAGAAAAAAACTTTCGCAACATGGTTTCGTGCTCTGACCCGCATACGAAATTAGAGTCTGGCAGAAACCGAAAAGTTCCTCAAATCTTTGGTAGATTTAATTATGTTTAAATAGGCTTAACGAAACTTATCCATGGTGGTGTAGAAAACCCAATAAAGGCACCAATTTATCAGATCTAAAGTGAAACTAATTGAAATTTACAAAAAGGTAACATATTATGTTTTGTAACAAAAACCTTTATTTAAGGTAAATGGAGACTGCTTTCTTGTGTGGCTTTCAAGGAAACAATAAATCTGAAAATGTATTACAAATCTAACAAGGATAGTATCCACTGACAGGTAAAAGTAATCCGGATACTGAGGTGCCAAGCCACTAGAGAATATATATTTTTTTATATTTCGTATTATTATATTAAAAATATTATGTATAAAATTAACGAAAGTTATTGATCGTGTGTAATAATAATAAGAACCGCATCAATATTTTTCTTTGCAAGTAGTAATGCAAATTATAACACAATTCAAACCTATAAATATTAATCAATACTGGGTATTCATTTTGTATATATAAACAAATGACATCACTGTCCCCACATATGGACAAAATGGCCGCCAGTAGCATTTCCGGCGTGTGCATGTGTGCCCAGATGCATGTATACATTTGCACTTAGCCTGTTGCTCCTCGTTTCCTTTTTGATTTCATTTCTTCTTTATTATACCCACTTTTTGCAGCTATTGTTTTTCCATTCGTTGAATTTTTTCCAACAAACTTCATTGGACCTTACAGCCGGATGCAATGGACCATAAAGGAGGAGGCGGACAATTGGCAGGAGCCGGCAAAAAGGGCACAGTGACAGAATGAAAGTGCGGGTGCGTTGACTGAATGGTTATAATCCGACGGACCGTCTGTCAATCAAAACATTCTCGACGGACAGAGATGGACGTGAATGCTTTATGCAAAAACATTGGCAGCTCACAGAGCTTAGGTTACGGGTAGGAGGAATCCTATCGGATTCAGTTCCAGAACTCCTGAATCAAATAAGAATGTAAAATTTGAATGTTGTCATGAATGGGCGGATTGGATTGGCCGATGTGGTTTGTTATTAATTTTTATTTTATGTTAAGACAAAGGAAATTAAATTCGTTTTTATTTAAGTCAGTGTAGAAATTTAGAAACACCTAGTTTTGTTTGATGACAATAAAGATTTGAAACTATATATGTATTTATAGAATAAGAAAGAGAAAGTTTTATAAAAAATAAACTTTTTTTCAACGAAAATTTTATATTTAACACGGCTTCCACAGTAAACAGTTTTCGCGGCTTTAATTTAAACTTGTGCTATAACTTTAATATCCTGTAAATTTAATACCTAGTACCCATAAGAAATAAAGGATAATGGGCCGAAGGCTTAGTATAGTTAGCCGCCTTTTTCAAATTAGCGCAAAAAGTTGGCTCACCACTTCTGCCCACTGGGATTTTCCCCCTCTTTTTCTTTTTTAATTTTGTAGTAAATCTTTTTATGCTTGAGTTTTCTTGTAAATGTAGACAATATGCAATCGTAGAATTTTCTGCATTTCAAATAACATAGTCATTTTAAACTTAAATTGGAACTGGTTAAATGATTCCAGCAATTATTTGGGACTTATTATTTATTGTATATCTATCAATCGAATCTCAAGATTGTCTAAGCTTTATATTTTTGCTGTCACTAAGTTGCTTCCGCAAGCATTCTAATTAAAGTTTTAATTAAATTAAAATTAAAACATGGAATGAATTAAATTTGAAGGACTACTGGTGGGATTTCCTGTTACAAGTATCTGTATTTTGACAAAAAATTCTATTTTCTTATTAAAATTTTCAACTGAATTTGATTCCTTATACTAGCTTGTGACACTAGCTTCTACAGTCTGGATTACTAAGATGTCCTTCAAGGACAATTGATATGGATTACGAACCCAACCATTGTTCGTTTTTCCCAATATATATTTATCCTAAAAAAGGAATTCATTGAAATTTAACGACTAATTATCCTTTTGCATATTTCTCATGATATTCTTTTTTAATACCTTTTTAATTACGTTATAAAACCACAATTCGGACAATTACATTTTCAGATTTCTTATTGGACCTAATTGTTTTTTCCTAAACAAAAGAAAAGACAACAAATAAACATTTTATTGTCTGAAAGATGCTTTGTTCTTATTTTTTGGCGTAATATTTCTTGGGATATGACAGGCTCAAAGGAGAACCAACCACCTGAATGCCTCGGGCTATCCCCCCGAAAATAATCTTGTTGTTTTTCTTACATTTCGCGATTTTGCTTCTGGCAACCGACGCAATTTCCAAACAAGCAATTTACTTATTCATGCAGTTGTTATTCGCGTTTTTCAAGACAAATGTGCGTTGGAATATTTAATGTGGTTATTATTTTCTGCATTGAGGTAAGCTCCGGGTGTTGAGCAACATGTTGAGAGAGCGTGAGTGCAACAGGCACAGCAACATGTTGATTGAGCCAAATGTAAACAGAGAACTTTCCTCTCTCGCGGACTTTTAGATTTCTCTCTTCCATTTTATACACCTTGCACAAATTGTTAGTATGAGTAAACGAAAGACTAATTATCAAGAAAAACTATGTTAACTATATTTTATATGTATTACAAATATTTAATAAGAAATACTAAACAGGATAAAAGAAGGAATGTAAAAAAAAATCAAAGTTATATTTTCTTTTAGATATTTGCGAAATAAAACATTATTTTCATTGTAAAAATTAAAAAAATATATATATTAAAAATAAAAAGTGTATATACCCTTGAAAAAAAACCCTTCGCTGTTCTTTTAAGCATTAATTTAATTTGTTAAATATTTTAAGATCTAGTTTTTTCGAAACTTTTTCAAAACAAAAAAAAAAACAGCATGCATATAGTGTAAAAATTCCAAAGTACAATATGAAGTGAGAAACTGTCATATAACCGACAAAAATAACCATGTATCAAACAATAGAGAAAACATATTTAAATTATAGTTTATCTGTAGAATAATAGTATAGTTTTCATTTTAAAATATGTATATTTTATTATTTATTGCTCTTCGGTTGCATTCAATCAGCATTCGCATAACTTTTACATATAAAATACACAGAGATAGTTTTCAGTTAGAATAATGTGTGTTTTGACGCTTTACAGATATCAAATGCATTATAAAGTATCAGCTTTAATTAAGTTTAACAGTTCTTCGAATTGCTTGATTAGAGGGATGCTGGATTACGGTAAGGGAATCATCTTTGGGTATTGTTTCCTTTATTTCGGGGACTTGAGCTTACATTTAACATAAACACTGTGACTTTCATTAAATTTAAATACATAGCGAAATGCATACAACTTTAAGTTCATTACTCCGTTATTTATATGTTTGAAAATACATGTTTAACATAGGCAATGGCATTTAGAGCCAAATAAACGAATGACTGACTGGCCCAGTGACCTGACTTGGGTTTGACTCGACTGATCGACGGACATTGGCGAGAATTGCTCTTCATGTACACACATTCAATTAGCATTGGGTATCAAAAATACTTATCATGGCTTTTCATTACACTTTAGTGACAAAAATAGTTACAATTTAATACCATTAACAAAAATACTTGACGATCGATCAATTGCATATTTTGGAAACTCTTGCTTACACTCTTTTGGAACAAAAATTAACTCATTTACAAGACATGTTTTGGGAAAAACAAAAGCGTATGTATGGGATTTAAGTATGTGTGTGTGTATGTGTGTGGTTCTGGTATTGTCCTTAGGCCCAGTCCTTTTTAATCTCAAAGGTCCAGTCCCACTCCAGGTGTATATGCTTGTCGTCATCCGTAAAGACAGAGCTAACCGAGTAGGTGCCGCGGGAGAATGTACCGGAGGGCGCCTCCTCGGCGGGCGTCAAATAGAATTGAATCTCCTTCTTTGGCGGATAGGAGCCAACCATATGCTTCATTTTATCGACTAAATAAAGATACGAAAAATATCTGGTTACTCGGAATATATATTACATTTTGGGCTCTCTGATGCAATCTTACCCACAACTTAAACCCACGTAAAATAAATTATCCGAAATAAATGTTTGGCATTGGAGATAATAATAGGACATAACAAATTACGTTATTCTCAACACATGACTATCGTTAATATGGCAAATGTTAAAAACACAATATAAACAATGCTACAAAATCCGTACAAAAATGTAGTGCCATTGAAGGTAGCGTTCCCCATTACGATCTCAGCCTAGAATGCGACTAATCCCTTCAAACGACAACCAAGAACTAAAGACAAACGCTGCACAATTGAATGTCGCAGCTACTAGAAAAGTGAAGTCTCAAAAGTGCTGGCACCGACCTGTACACAAATACCTGATTTATAGAGGTCTTAATAAGGGATTATATCGCGAGTTAAAATTCAATATATATTCACAAAAGTATCTCTACAATATAGAAACGGAATTTTAAAAATAAAAATAAATAATGTATTTTATAAATTTAATAAATATATGTATTTAAATATATGAGTTACCGAAAAATATTCGTGTTATATAGTCTAAAATAGCAAACATAAGATCGATTTATCGAACGATGACAACTTTTAATATATCGATTTGTATATTGAATTTCGCGTTAAATATCAATATAATACCGGCATATCGGAAGTTTTGGTCATTTCTAGTCATAATCTCATTAAATCTTAATAACATTATAACCCATTTAGTTCCAGACCTGGTTAAATATTACCAACAACTAAGTTTTTCCCACAATTAATTAAAATATTTGTCTCTGTCTCATTTAAATTTAAAATCTATACACACTTACCATTAACACCCAAGCGAGAAGTCTTTTGCACATACTTAAGGCCATGGACAATTTCACGCTGCACAATAAAATCAATGCGCACCTTGTACTGAACACCTTCTTTGATCACAAAAAGCTGCCAATAATTTAAAGATATATTTTTAGGCTATAAAAAGGCGTAATTTGTTTTTAATTACCTGCTTTTTTAGCTGACTTAGGTCACCGGTAAGATCCAATTCCATATCATCTCGACCCTCTACAACGAGCGCCAGTTTCTTCACAATCACCTTTCGCGGATCATTGGGTTCTTGCAAATTAATCATGAATAATCGATTAATATTGGATATTTAAATGCCAAAAATCATAACGTCTTACCAACGACAATTTTTTCGGTCTGGGCTGCGCCCAAAAGGGCCTCTTTGTAGCGCCGCAAGCTCTCGTCCTCCTGATCGGCGGCCATTATCTCCTCGATGGTCTTCTCCGGCGGTGCCTGGTAGTTGGCATCATGAACATCCTCATCGTGATGGTCGGGGTGGGGCTTCGTCTCTGTTTCGGCCATGTCTTCTAACCTAGAACTGTCCAAGTGGAATAGTTTATTTATCAATCAATTACATTTAAATGTGAGGCACCGTCTTAATTGCTGACGATGTTATTGTTTTATATGTTGCTAGAGATTTTGTTTAGTATTTCTCACTTGCTTTCAGTCTCTCTTTAAGAAGCATATGGGTCATAGGCATATTTTTAGGAGTGTGAGTAACATGTTGACGATAATGATATTGTTTTATATATGCATGTACATCCATATATACAACAATTAGCCTCCATATAAAGTATGTGCGTTTAGAAGAAGCTATATCTGAATTATATTCCTGAATTACTGAAACACACTGAGCCTTTTCTGTAAATGTACTTATAATCTAAGAAAATGTACATTTTTACTAAGGCTTGATTTTGCTAAGAATATATCTAAATATTAATTTTTTATGTATTTGCTAGATTACTTTTCTAATCAGATCACTAATTAAGTGTTACTGCGCGAATTCAATAAGATACATCCCCTGGTTGATTAGCTTATCATTCCATTAACATATATTTCTTTTTTGGCAACTGTAATGTTTGAGATGCGACCAAACGTTGGCCACTTCATATGCACGTTCAATAATATTGATTAAATTCCAATTATTAACGCATTGATGAACTGACGGGTTGATTGGTATACGGGGCGGATGACGGCGGCGGGGGGAAAAGGCGACTTGCAGCTGGTCAGAGTGGGAAAAATAAATAAAAAAAGGTCCAACCAAATACGGAGCCACTGTGGCAGATAAGGCAAGAGCATACGATAGACAGAGAGAGGGCGGATATCGGCATTGAATAATATTGAACAGAACGGGCGACAAAAGCCCAAACCCCCCGCTATCGCTCAACCCACCGAAGCCTTTATTATTATCTTGCTTTGTTTTTCACTATCTAAATACACGTCGGTTGCCTGGTTGCCTTATGTCCATTTTCAACGAGTATTGGCCCAATAATAATTCTCAAGCCTCCACATTTGGCTTTATATACACGGTCAGCACAAGCTATACACATGAAATTGAAATGTTATTACTTGACATCAGGTTGTTGCGAGATAATTAAAATGTATCTATATAGACGGATTTCAGGCAGACGTGTACACAGAGAAACAAGATCTTTTCGGGTTTGCACATAAAATTCGAAATTACTAACGGAGAGGAGAAGTCAAAATTATGACCCCAGTACAAATTTTATATCAAATACAATATAAGAAAAAAGAAATTATCAGTTATGGTTTGGGGGTGTATAAGCAGCAAGGGAGTCGGGGAGCTCGCATTCATAGAAAGCACTATGAATGCTGAGCAGTATCTCTCCATACTCCAATCAAATTTGAGACAGAGTGCTAAAAAATTTGGCTTAATGGACGAAGAAAAGTCGAAATTCAAATTTTACCAAGATAATGACCCCAAACATAAGGAGCAAACTTTGCGGCCATGGCTCCTGTATAACTGCCAAAAGGTTATAGATACACCTCCTCAGAGCCCTGACATGAACCCCATTGAAAATTTGTGGGTTCATTTAAAGAAAAAAGTGGCTAAAAGGCAACCGAGGAATCGAGCAGACCTCAAAACTGCAGTGCTGGAAGAGTGGCAGAGAATTCCATTGGAATTCTCTTGGAAAAGCTAATCAATTCCATGAAAAAACGCACCCAGCATGTAGTAAATGCTAAGGGGGAGCACACAAAGTACTAAAATTAATAAATTATTGTTTAAGTTGTTAAATATATCCTTTCAGCTGTACGTTTTGTATATTGTGTAAAGAGTTTCTTGACAGTGTCAAAAATGTGAAAAGTTATTTTTATTAATTTTTGTTAAATCTTAAATTGTTTTGTTTATGTTTTTGAATATTATCATTAAGAATTATCCAATAAATAGATATCCATTGAAAAAATATTAAAAATCTTACTAAAAGCGTTATATTTGCATGCACCGTCAAAAAATATTTTAAATCTTCAGTGTGTAAACAGTTTCTTGACATACTGTATTTTGGAAATTTTACCTGCCTTTGCCCCCTTTCTTGTCATTTAAATAATTATTAATTCGTATTTAAGAGCAAACTTGCATAATTTTTAATCAATATATTAAATACAATTTTATCCTCTATACAACCAAGTGCAATTGCAATTTAATATAATACCAAAATATAAAAACTTATAATACTAAAAAAAAATAAAGACAAGATATTGAAAAACATTCAATTTATGTTTCCGTGTAGAAGCGGGAATAGCAAAAAATTTAAATAGTGAGAAAGAGAAACGAAAATAATAAACATTTTCCAGACTAACAACGAACGAACGTTTGGGCCAATAAATACAATTCGAATAATTAAGGTTGAGTGAGAAAAGGTAATTTCAAGAACAATCTGACCAAAAACCGAAAATTCGAATTCCAAACAAAAATTCGGGGAAGCGATAGAGGGAGAGCGAGAGAGAAGAGGAGGACGCGAAGAGAGCCGACCCCCCGCCAGACCAGAGTGGGGATAATTTAAGGAAATGAACGAACCATGCCAGTTTTTGTGGCTTGATAACGAAATGTGCAAGAAGAATGTTAAGGCCTCAGACGTACATATGTATGTATTGTATGTATGAATCACGCACACCAAGTCACACACACACACGCCCGCACACTGTGACCGGCACATGAATCGTCATTGTTTGCAAGTACGATTTTTTGGGAGTGGTACCTTGGCCCGTGCAGATAACCAAATATTTGTTAATAATACTAAGGAACAGTACTATGGTTGGATTCAAGTATCAATTACGCGGCATGCATGGGAACGCAGCACTCGCACACACTCACAATCGACAGGAACGACGCGCACTCACCTTTTTAATGTGCTAAGTTATATTCAAATTTAACAGTTTCAATGAGTTTTGCGGGAGAGTCACGTGGCCTGGTGATTACACAGATTCCTTCTTTTCCTTATGTATTTTTTATGGGTTTGTGGCTGACTAATTTTGAAACAAAGCAAAATACAACGAAAAACACTCGGCGAAACAAGAAGTCTAAGTGTTACCAGCTGCTGTAAGTCAACGCCAATTGTTACCGGAGTCATGAAAAAATACCAATACTTTGGTTGCACAGCAACAATGTGCATTTAAATAAACATATATATTGGGTTGGCAAGAAAGTCATTTCGTTTTTTTTTTCAATATTTTCAAAGATGATTTATTTATATCAGGACTTATAATTAATCAATTATGTATTGGCCGTTTTGTTCGACCACTAATGACCATCTCTCGGAACCCAAACATCGAGCTTTCTTACGTAGCCAAGTTTCTTCAAATGGTTTTCAACCGTTGTATGCGACACACTAAGCTTCTCTGACATCTCTCGCGTTGAATAACGCCGGTTTTCATCCAGCAAAGCCTGAATTTGTTCTTCAAAAACGGCCGATGGTCGACCAGAACGTGGAGCGTCTTTAACTCCAAAATCTCCAAGCCTGAATTTGGCAAACCAGCGCTGACATTGGCGATCACTCATGGCATCTTTACCATATACTTCGCACAATTTTTCGCGAGCTTCGACCGCTTTTTTTCCTTTTCGAAAGTAAAAAAGCAAAATATGCCGAAAATGCTCACTTTGGTTCTCCATGTTCAATTTGCTATAGCTTCCACAAATGTTATCGAATAAATACCAAATTTTCGTCGATAGTACCTAAGACAATAAGCTTTAAAACGATACTAAAAAGTGTGACACTGGTGCTCGATTAGTCGTAAATAAATTATATTAAAAACGATTACTAAAAAAACGACATGACTTTCTTGCCAACCCAATATTTATAATTGGATTATATTTAAGGTCAGGAGCATGGTAGAATTATAATTGTATCATGGTCAGGAGTGAGTATGGATAGGTGTGAAAAGAAATAAATAAATAGCTATGGCTATAAAAGTATAGGTTAGTATATTTTTTTGAGAATCCGTCGTACTATTTTATTTGAGCTGCGTCGGCCCCACTGGTCAACAGCTGTTTATTATTACTTCATCGTTCTGTTTTTTATTGAAATTTTGGAAAATGACACAGTACTTGAGTCAACTTAACACCGCCGATAAGCTGGCCGCCGAGCCATGGCCTGAAGACGCCACTATCTACCAGGTGAGCTTCCGTCAAACGGCTCTCAGCTTGCAAACTAATATGTTTCCATAATCCTCTGTATAAAAGCCATATGAGGCCGAGCAGATTCTGCTGCCGGAGAACGCTAGTTGCCTGGCAGTAAAGGCCTACCTGAAGATGTGCAACCTCCCCTTCGGTATCCGATCCTGCGCCAACGCCGAACACATGTCCCCGGGTGGAAGGATGACCAAGTTGCCATTTATCAGGGCTGGCGCGTTCATTTTCGCCGAGTTCGAGCCGATCGTGAATTTTGTGGAACAAAAGGACATGGCCATTGGGAGCTGGCAGGACGAGGACGAAAAGGCTGACATGCGGACTTACGTGTCGTTGGTGGAAAACATATTTACCATGGCCGAGCTGTACATCAGCTTCAAGAACGAGCGCGTTTACAAGGAGGTAACTGCGCCAAGAAACGGAGTCGTCTTTCCCTGGCCTCTCAACCACATGCAGAACTATGGTAAACGGCGGAATGCCTTGAAGTTACTGAAGGTCTATCAGTGGGATGACCTGGAGATCGAGAACGTCATCGAGAAGGTGGCCAAGTGCTGCGAGACGCTGGAGTATAAACTCAAAGAGTTCCCCGACACACCCTTCTTCTACGGCGATCAACCCTGCGAGCTGGATGCCATCGCATTTGGGCATCTCTTCAGTATCCTGACCACAAATTTGCCTAACATGGCGCTGGCCCAGACTGTGCAAAAGTTCAAACACCTGGTCGAGTTCTGCCGGTTCGTCGATGAGAAATACTTTCAGACCAGGTGCCTGCAAGATTAGTTTTAATGTTATTATTTCGACAAAAATGATGGTATAAGTGCCAAATTATAGATCAAATATTATCATTTCTATTTATGTTATTTGTTTTTCATCTGCTATATGGTTTAGTTAAAGCTTGTCTAGTTGTTAAATAGTTTTAGTTTAAGCTTTAGTACGAACGCTTCTCTTAAAAGCACACCTTAATTACCATCCTAAAAACACAATTCGAACTATGCTTTTTGATATTAGGCGCTCCGCTTTAATTTCCCGAAAAAGCGCATTTAAATAAGGCAGTGCGATTTATTTTTGTAGCTAAATTTTGCTAACGTATTAAAAAATATCTAACAATTATTTTAAACACTCTACTTTCAGCAAATAATATTATAAATAACTTTTCGAGAATTTAAATAAATGTTTTGGTTGTTATTAAATATTTGGCATTTTAACAATTACCAAAATAACTAACTTAAATAAAGCTTCTGATTCACTTGTGACCCAGGGTGTAAGATGAAATGATTGTCTTAAAAATTAATATAATAAATGTTAAATATTCCGATTCCCAGCTTTAACTACTCAACAAATTTGAACGTAGGATTACATATTTTTAGAAAAAAAAATCGGCGCAGCTGGCTAGTATTTCTTTCCGAAAAGGTTTATAATCGTGGCGCGGTCACACTGGAGCAACTTGAAACAGTCGCGAAATCAGCTGTTCTGGTTGCCGCGGAAAGAATGATCTTTGTATTAAAATACAATTTTATAGATTAAATGAAAAGGAAGTACTTCGTGTGGACTCCTGAGGCAACAAAATGTTTTCTAGATGTCTGGGAGACCAATCTAAAGAGCTTTCGTGGAAAACGAAAGAAAACCCTGATCCAAAAGGACATGGCTGAAGGCATGAGTGATTTCGGTGTGACTCGTATTGAAATAAAAGCAAAGCTGCAGGTTATGACCAAACGTTATCGGTATAAATCAATTATATGCCCATATTACCCGTATTCGAATAAATTAATTAATATTTCTTGCTTGTAGCAATGAAGCCTTGGAGTTTTCCAAAACCGGAGTTCGTCCGAAATGGGAATATTTTTCAAGATTGCGGAACATTTTTGAACGTGAAGACGACGACTTTGGGGAAGTACTCGAGGTAACAGAAAATGCTGGTAAATATTATTTCATTATGTTCTTATTGCCAAAACTATGTTTATCAAAATATATTTGTGTGAGAACTAAACTGAATCTGCCTAAAAACTTATTTATTTTCTATTTTGTTACAGACAATATCATCGACATTTCAGATCACGAATCATCATCGAGCGAATTCGAATTTCCGGAACCAGCTTGCAAGATCTTTAGACGTGATCTGGATACAAATGTGGAAGAGAATGATCATATCCATTACTATTATCGGCGGCCTATAGACGTTGAAGAAGAAAAACTGGCCATTCAAAAAGAAACACTTCATGTAATGCGATCGATGGCAAAGAATCTTTCCAATATGTATGCTACCTCTCTAGATTTTTTATGAAACGAGTCTGTCGAAATACTCTTTATAGTTCAAATTAGATGTAAAATACCGCACGGGCGCATTATAGAATCTGCCTCTATGTTATTATTAAAAGTACATAAAAGGTTCAGCTGAGTAAACCCGTTGACAAAAACCCATCAACACAGTAATAAAGTCAAACACTTATATACATACATATAAAAGCCTTAAATACATTTATATTTTTATTTATTATAATATTTAATTTAGATTATTGTTATGAATGCAATGTACACATTTTTGCATGCAACAACATTTGATTTTCGCTACCGCAATCATACAAAAGAATCGGATGATACTCGCAGATACAGATACAGATAAAAGCCTAACGACAGTTTGTCCAGTTTATCAGCCAAATTCAAGTCTTAGTTTCCGGCTGGCTGGCTGGTTGCCGGCATCGACGGTTCGTTGTCCACCGCTGGAACAGTCGCGGGCGGTGGTACCGATGGCGTAAAAACGTGCACCATCTGCGGGGGCAACGGCGTTGGCTGCGTGGGAAACAGTCCGCCCATGGAGGGCTGCACCTGCGGATACGAGGGTACTGTCTGTGCGCCAGCTGGGTAGGAGAGAGCCGATGGGGCCGACATATAAGCTTGCTGCGGTGCAGAGAACATGGGCACAGCTGCTGGTGCTGCCGTGGCCTGTGGAAAGGGTAGCTGGGCGGCGGGTATGCCACCTACAGTTGCGTTGTGTTGTGTATTGGGATCAAAAACACCGGGTATAAAAATGTTAGCTGGCGGCGGCAAAGGCTGAGCCGGAGCTGGTGCTGGTGCTTGAACCGGAGTCACAGCCACGTCAGTACCCACAGCTACAGACGTAACAGGTGTGGCAGCGGGAGCGGGGTCAGCAATATTGGCCTGGGTCTCCAGCGCAGCAGTGAGGGCATCAGTGGCTTCATCCGGATTGAAGTAGGTCTTAAACAGGCTTTGGGCCGGTGGTTCAATGGTTGGTGGTCTGATCTCCGCGTTTGTCGACCCAAAAGTGTTAGCTAGCGGGGGTATATAAGGGAGCGTTGGCGAGACAACAGCAGACCCAGCCGCAGACACCGGGGCACCAGCTGAAGGCACTCCGCCCGCGGTCAGCAGGGGAGCAGAAGCCTCAGAGGCTGTGGGAGCAGGTCCGAGGCCGCCGCCAGCAACGGGAGACGCCTGAACAGGGATTCGGTGCAGGTAGCCGAAGCCAATGCCGCAGCCAAGAGCTCCCTCGCCGCCCCAAGCTGTGTTCGGCTTGATCGTTACTTCGCGGCATGCGTCATCGTCCAAATTGTAGACGTACATCTTTAGCGGCTGCTGCTCGTGCGTTTCGATCAGCGTGAACAGATCATCGTTTTCGTGGCGAATGGCATCCGCGCCGATCACATAGTCGCTGTAGGCGCGTAGTCCGGCCAACTCGGCCGGAGAATTCGGATGCACCTCGAGAATGTGCCACACGCTTTCGTTGGCTCCCTCGAAGGAACAGAACCGGATGCTGACGCCTAGCAGACCCTGGCCGCCCCAACTGTTGCTGGGCGTAAGGGTCAGTTCGCGCACCGTCTGCGTTTTGCTGGAGTAAACGGTGAGGCGCACCGGTTTGTCGACGTTCTGGCGCAGCAACTCTTTTAGCATGTCGTTGTCCTGGTCGAGACGGGTGCCGGCGATTGCCACGATGAAGTCAAAGAAGGCCTCCAGTCCGGCCTTCTGCCCGGGCGAGTTGTCCTGCACCTTGAGTACGTGGTAACCTGTGGAAGATCTCATTTTACTTTGGCCATGTTTTCTATTTACTTTTACGGAACAGGTGTGAGTGTTTTCGTGTTTTCTGATTGGACACCGAACACAAGGTTTACGTGGTCCGTGGCGAGAAATGGGTTGCGGGGATATTTTACCTTCGGTGCCACCGCCGGGCACGTGGATGCTGTGGCTCGAGCCCATCTTTCGCTTGGGTCAACAACCTCTATTCCAAAACCTGGCAATGGCTTTTGCGGCGTTGGAGTTCGTCTTAATAAATTCTGTTCTTCGTGGCAATTCTCGGGGTTTGTTGAAATATATCAAAATATCAATATATCGATATATTAATATCGTAATATTTTGTTTCCACAAATATCGAAGTTGCGATATTTTTTAAAATATATTTTTTTTGTATTTATTTATTATTATTATTTTTTAATATTTTTTTGGCGCCACTGGTCACACAAACTTAAAAGAGTTAATAAAATTTTGCGGGTGAAATGAACAAAATTGAGCTTAACAGACTTTGGCGGAAAAATTAAAAAATATTAGAGAGATAAAAAAAATGAAATGAATGGGTGAAATGAAAATTAAAAATAGATTTCCGAAAAGGTGCTAATGAATTAAGATAACACTGAAATATGATTTCAATAAATGTATTTAGTAGTTTTTAATATAATAAATGTATTTTGTATAAACTTTGCAAAGGTTAATATTATTTCTTTTGTCGGTCTCTATGTATTAATAATATTAATATTAATTCAATAATACTTGGATTATCCTTGTTTTACAATGCTCAAAATATGTTACTTTAGCTGCTACATTACGTTCTACGTTAAATTTCCTGTTTATACAAAAACAGAATATGAAATATTCTTTAATATAGAATATAGTTGCACCATGTTCGTAAATACAGATGTTTTTATATTCTATTAAAATGTGTCATAATTAATATATATGTCTTCATTAATGAACACCTTCGGCTCGTTATCGTGTTCTCAGAAAAGAGTTATAAGAGAGAAGCGCTGGTTAATTAAAAAAAAGTTAACAGAATTTTACGGGTGAATTGTAATAAGTGATACCGATTGTATCGATGTGAATTATATCGACAATGATATATTTATATCGATATAAATTCTTTGCCCAAATGTCGATGTTGCAATATACTTTTTTAAAACAATCACCAAAAATATCAAAGTTTTGAAAAATTTGCAAATCTCCAAGTTTTAAATACCAACAGTGATGTCGCTCTAGCTTTTTTAAAGCTAAGTCAAGCCATTCGACAAATTTGACCGATTTCGATATTTAGGTTCTAAAAACCAAATTTAAAGTTATTTAAGGATGTTAAAGCTTTAAGTTTATAAAAACAAGATATATTCAATGAAACCTTGCAGGGTAGTTTTCTCAAGTTGAAAGAATGTACCATTTTATTAATTTCAAGATAAAAGGGTCGCGCCAAGTGAGTTATTAAATGCCAAGCAGCTATCCAAGTATAAGTAATAAGTTAATTTTGTTCGTGTCCAGAAGTTTACTTCATTGCTGCTGCCACCTGCCACTGCTGCTGGTACTTGGCCACCGCCTCACGGTGTTTCAGCATGTCCTTCTCCCTGCAATTGAGAAAAGCAGTCAGTTATCTTATTTCAGTTTTCCAGCCAGGAGGCACTACTTACATGTTTTCCAGCGTGTCGCTGGAGCTCTTCAGTTCCTTGGAGATGTATTCGATGCGCTTGCCGACGTTCTGGCGGGAGTCCTCCAGCTCCTGCTTCACCAAAACCGGGCCGAACAGCTTGTACACCTTGTTGTCCGGTCCAAGCAGATTTAGTTCGTCCAGAACGCACTTGTTCTCGTTCAGCTGGCTCTCTAGCAGTGCCCGCTGCTTGACCATCTTGACGCAGGCTGCCCAGGAAGACGAACAAAATGCATTACGAACATGTAAATTGTACATATATATTAAATCCAAAGACCAGATGGTGTCCTCCAGTTTACTCACATTTTTGCAGGTTCTGGTATGACTCAACCTCGGTCTGCATCTTTTTATACAATGCTGCGCTGTTCTTGTCCATTTCGATTGATTTGTTGCAGGCTCTCGCGGTGAATTTTACCTGTTTTTGAGCAGTTGTTTTACCGGCTGTTAGCAATTTTAACAAATTTCGGGAAAATGCATGTGAGAAGTGAGCTGTGTGACCGTGGACAGTTTTCTCAAATATCGCTTCCTGGTGTTGCTTTACGATTGGATTGTTTTACAGCACTGATAGCAAACAGCTGTCTGACATCACTCAAGTTTCTACAGAGCATACACAAGTGCACAAGCATACCTTTTTAGTTCGATTTTAAATTGAAGTATTATTTTTAAAATTGTTGGCCTGATGATGATGAAATGCGTGCTTTGCTATGAGTCAGTTAACTGTTGACCTTAATTTTTCTCATACTTCATACAAATTAGTGTTGGTAAACGTATATAGTAGTATGGTAATTGCATTCTGCATGATAATCAACAATCATAAAAATATGTACACAAACGCTGCGCTCTGTTAACCGACAATTACATGTGTCTTAAAAATACGGTGCGTGTTAAATAAATGCATCTAAATCGTGGTATACATTTTTTATAATCTAGTGCATTTGTGCCAAAACATTCATTCACCTACAAGCCATCATGCAGTCGTAGCGTTCCACCGCGCCTATAATAACGCTGAGACAAAAGCAAAAGGTTTCGCGCCGAAAAGGAAGACGGCAAAAATACGCAAAGCGGTCCGGAAAAATAACAAAAACCCACTCTAAATGGACTCTGCGACGGGGAGAATGTGTTTGAATTAATTGCAAACGTGGATACAGTGCGTGCGCGCTTGTGCAAGCGGTAGTAATTGTGATCCGTCGACCGTCAACTGCCGCCGCCCCCACCCTCCCCTTGCCTACACACTCACACAATGGCTCCAGCAAAAAAACGCGAGAAAGACAATAATGCAGATGACGCTGCAACTAATGGCCTGAATGGCATGTCCAACGGAGCGGCGGATGCCGCAACGGCCTCGTCAACAGCAACGACCACTGCCACTGCAATCGCAGGTACTACTGTACCGCCGACGCCGGCCGATGGCCAGGTCAAACTCAATGGACACCAGCAGGAGCAGGAACTCTTTTTGCAGGCGTTCGAAAGTGAGTAGACGGACGGCATTACCTGGGTGTGGGTGGGCCGGGATTTAACCCGCACTTCCTTAATGCTTTTGTTCTGTTTTCAGAGCCCACTCAGATATATCGCTACCTACGCAATCGGCACGAGACAAATGTGAGTAGTAGAGAGCGTCCCAACGCCCTAGGCGGTACATCACCTAGAAATCATTTGTGTTCTGTGTCCACAGCCCATCTTCCTGAATCGAACGCTTAGCTACATGAAGGAGCGCATGTCGCGTAACAACAAGAAGCGGGCCAGCTTTCAAGTTGACTCCATGCTGGACAGCATCATTCAGAAATCAGAGGCCGTCACCCAAAACTACCTGCACGTCATATACGATTCTCTGCACGAGAAACTGAAGGCCGCAACGGCCGATGGCGGCGGCGACGATTTGCTGCAGGAGCAACTGCTGTGCGAGGCGGGGGAGTCGGTGTGCGTCGAGACAACGCTGTACAAGATAACTCGCAGCAAGCGCAAAGACAGCACACTGGACTTCCAGGAGCTTCTTAGCAAGAGCTCGCAGATCGTGTACAATCCGAAGGATAACATTGGAGAGCACGCAACCATTAGCATACCGTTGCAGACGATGCAACCGATGGGGGAGCAGCACACGCTGTACAAGCTGCTCTTCCGCATCAAGGTGCTGGCGCCGAGTTCGTGCAATGACGAGAATGCAGGTGAGTTTAAATCTAGGGCTTTTCTGGTTGGCTAATATATTAATATTTCCTGCGTAGAAACACCTCCCAACAAAAGGTCGCGTCGCAACGAGAAGATGTTCGGTTCGGAGCTGATATTATACGAGAAATCCAGTGGCTTCATCACCGAGGGCGAGTACGAGGCGATGCTGCAGCCCTTGAACTCGTCCAGCATCAAATCCTTCTCACCAAAGAAATGCACCTGGGAGACAATGCCCGACAGCTACATTCCGCTCTCGCTGACCTACGATGTCTATAAGCAGAGTCCCATGCTCAAGTTCCATTTGACGCTCTCAAATGAGGAGCTGCCAGAGATTATATCCGCGCCGGAACTGCAGCGTTATGTTCAGCCTTTGGATGCGGTGGCCGAGATGAATCACAACAACAATAACTACAGCAACAACAATAACTGCAGCGCATTAAAGAATGGTGGAAGCGGAATCAAATCGATGCCGGAGCACATCCAGATAGTGTACAATTTCATGTACAGCAACAATACGCGCCAGCAGACCGAGTACACCCAGGAGCTTAATTGCCCGTGGTGCGGACTAGACTGCCTTCGCCTGTACGCACTGCTGAAGCACTTGAAGCTGTGCCACGCCCGCTTTAACTTTACATATCAGCCGGCAGGAAGCGGGGCGCGCATTGACGTTACCATCAATGATGGCTACGATGGGTCGTATGCCGGTTCGCCGTACGACCTGGCCGGGCCTTCGGGATCATCATTCGCCCGCACGTGCGGCCCGGTGCGACGCACTTCGGTCACCAGCCTAATGGTGTGTCGGCCTCGGCGCCAGAAGACTTGTCTGGACGAGTTCCTGGAGCTGGACGAAGACGAGATCAGCAATCAACGTTCTTATATAACGGGCCACAACAGGTGAGCAAGCATTGACTTACAAAAGGCACAAGGTATTAATCAAAATAAACTCGGTTACAGGCTTTATCACCACACAGAGACCTGCCTGCCAGTGCATCCCAAGGAGCTGGACATCGACTCGGAGGGCGAGAGCGATCCGCTGTGGCTGCGCCAAAAGACCATTCAGATGATCGATGAGTTCTCCGACGTCAACGAGGGCGAGAAGGAGCTGATGAAGCTGTGGAACTTGCACGTGATGCGTCACGGATTCGTTGGCGACTGCCAGCTGCCGTTGGCTTGCGAGATGTTCCTCGACGCCAAGGGCCATGAGATTGTGCGCAAGAATCTGTATCGCAACTTTATCCTGCATATGTGCTCGCTGTTCGATTACGGCCTGATTGCGGCCGAGACAGTCTATAAAACAGTCCAGAAGCTGCAGGGGCTGCTGAGCAAGTATGGAGCTGGCCAGGAGCTAATGCAGCGTCAGCGCGAGGCCCAACTTAAGTTTTGGCTGGACGTTGGCATGCACAAGAAGCAGGAGGATCCCAAGGCCCACAAATCACCTCAAAAAGCTGCTCCGCCGGCAGACGCTGGAGCTACCTCCTCCCCCACTGCCACCGCATCCACCTCCTCGAACAGTTCGGCAAGCTCGAGTGCCATGCAGCCGCCCAAGCGGATGCCGGCTCATCTGAAGCGGGCCAGTGCAGCCGCCGCCGCCACCGCAGCAGCTGCATCTCAAGGTAAAGCTTCCGAAAATGGAAACAACAACAGCAAGAACGTGGCCAAGAAGAGCGCAGATCAGCCGCCTCCTACCCTGGCCAACACAAGAGAGCGACGCTCCGATCCGGGCGTTAAGCGCAGTGTCAGCGGAACCCGACTCGGAGGAGGTCCAGAGTCTCGTACTGCCTCGGCACCTGTCTCGAAGCGCAAGCTTAGCGCCAAAGGTAAGTGTTGCATCAACTGGCAGGAGCCATTAGTTGAGCATCCCAGCTTCATCTTCATCTTAGTCATTTTGCTTCGTCACTAACACGGCTTGCTGGTGTCTCACGCTCTCTTCACCATAATTATAACATATTTTCAGTGGGTTAGCCTGTGGGGTTCGGTTCACTTAATACTATTAACCCATTTGCGTTAATTAATGAACATTTCACAGGCAAAGCTGGAACAAGGAGGTAATAAAATAAGATATTAGAAAAAGGCTGTGGTTAAAATATTCAAATCCATTCAAAATATGTTCAAGAACGTGCACTGAAATATACAGTTTAATTAATTTTTTATCTGTAAAACAGAACACATTACCACTTCTTTTTGGATAATGTAATAAATAAGATACGTAGAGCTGTTAGGGACAAAATTCATTTAAAGACAATAGACTTTAGTTCACTTTTTGGCTATGTCCCTTTGGGGTTATGATTTGATTTGGGTTAAATCGGTGCTTTCGGTCTTTTCGGTGTTTTATAATCTTAGAAACAAATTATAAATGATGCATGATATATCGAGTTAAATATTTAATCTTATAACTATATAACTTTAAATATCGATACTATTGAAGAAAAATCAAAAAATGTTATCAAACGGATTTGTCTTCTTTACCTAATATCTATAAATCTTGGTTGAGGCTCTTTTGTGCCACAATCTTAAATATCAAACAGAATCTCTATTTATCTTACATATATTGCGATGCCCCATATGTTTTTATATTATCAGATATCGAAACAGTATTGATTCGAATTTTTGCTATCTTAGATAGTTCAGTTTGTAATTAGAGCAGAATTTATGCTCTCTCAGGGTTCAGCTATAAATAATATTTCTTGTTCACAACTAACTATAACTTAAAAGCTGCTTTTATTACTATTCTTCCACATTGCAAGCAAAGCAAAAAAAAATTCCCCTCCTTAAGGGGATCCCCATTGCAAGCAAAAGTTTATTTTCTAAACGTATTTTATACATAAAAATTCAAGTTTAATCGGTTCAATATTAATAATCAACCAATTTCTTCAAATTATCTCTTAATATAGGAATGTTAGATCCTATTATGCTTTTACTCACAACTGCTAAAAGACAGATGACGCGTGTATAATGCAATCATTGTTAATTGTTTTGAATATTTTCAATACCTTTACTAAAACAAATGTTGAATCAATCGGTACATGCATCTCATATGTACATATGCCCACCACCTCCACTAAGCATCTACCCATTGTCATGAGTTCACGATGAAAGCCACCAAACACAAAATTCTTCAAAATTTCAATCAAAATTTATGTGACACGATGTCCAATCTCGGATGTTGTTGTTTCTCTTTCTCTTTGTTTTGGATTTTCCCTGAATTCCCTTTCTTGCTCAATGTGAACGCGCGGTCCTTGGCAGATGATGTGGAGCAGGCGGCGGATGTGCCCGAAGTGGTGGCCCACAGCGATAATGCTGTTGATGTTGGTGTTGATGATGAACGTTATGGTGGTGATGTCGTTAGTCCCCTGGGCATTAGTGGCCTTGCAATCCCAGTTGACGACAATTGTGTGGGCAGTTTGAATTGAAGAATAGTAACTTGAATCGAATGTCCCGTTCGACTCCTATTAATCGAAATCCTTTTGAAAACCTATACAGATAACACAGCAGCGCTCACCAAAAGACAGCGCTACAGCGACAGTAGCGCCGGAGCAGGACCCGGAAATGGGACTGGAGCGAGCCGCAACAAAAGCAATAACCACACACTGCCAGCAACCAGCGACATGAACAACAGCAGCAGCAGCAGCAGCAAGCGGCTGATCGCGCGACGCCGCTCCACCTCGGAGCGGACCAAGGCGAATGCATCATCAGGAGCTGGTGGAGGAGTACGCACCAGGCTCTCGGTGCCGGTCAAGTACGAGAGGCGCTGACGCAGGCGCCGTCGACGTCGCCGTTGCTGCTGCTGCTGCTCCTCCGCATCCTCGTTCACCGCCTCCCATTGACCACACATCGCTAGGGCTTTATTTGTTTAATTTGTTCAATCAATCGGGAAGCTGAGAGTTATGCCACGCCAGGCAACGCCTTTATCCCTCTTCTTATCATTATCGCTATATTATATTATGTTGTGTTATATTTTAATGGATCTATTACTATGTTGGACATTTTGTAAAGTCTTGTTTCGGATTCAAAATTGACCTCAAAAACCAGTAGCACTCTTCAGTTAATCACATTTTTACGCCAGATACTTAAGAGTACAGAATACAGGGCTCAAGGCTAAACTGCTACCGGGATAATCAATTCAAAACTAATTTGAATTATCTTACACCTAATCTTAATCAAATTCGGGTCATGTAAGGCAACGTTTTGCGGTAGAAGCGTAGAAAAGGAAGCATCAATTGTAATTAGTGCAGATTGTATACAAATATATATATTTACAGCCATAAGCAAGTCTATTTTTAAAATGAATGGCGTACTTGACAAGCAGAACATAATTCCAAATTCACAAACAAATAAAAACAAGCTATCACTAAGAGCATACACCTAATTTTAAACATGCGTACATAAATAAAAACTCACTCGAAACACAACAAAATCGCTGAATAAAGTATGCATATATATTTTTACAGTGCATTAATATGATCTTTTAAATGTATTATTTTTTGGGATTATATTCTTAAACCTGGATTGGCGTTAAGTTTTATAGAAAAGATATGCGTCTAAGCGACCTCTCTTCAAAAAGATGACACGTAAGACGCTAATGAGAAACTTAAAATCAGGGATTATAATTATGTTTTTTATGGTTGAGTAAAAATAAAGATAATTATCTGCTCAATTTTTAGGTTTTATTTATTCTTTTTTTTGTTCCAAATAAAACAAATTTAAAATTGGGAAGGCTAGAAACTTTCAAACCAGCCATCGACGTACTCTTTGTATAAAATGCTAAATTCATAAGATAAAATAACAATAGGGTTGTCATGAAGATTAAACGAGACGTCTTAAAACATCAAATATATTAAGTGACGTTTTGTTCATCATATTTCGTATCGAGCGGTCCTCGGAGTTTTTAAATCACATCCTAATTACATTTATGCATTCCTTTGAGTTTTCGCTTGAGCTAAGAAAATGGAAATTTAAAACCCCTATTTTATTTTTTATAATGTAGATATATATTTTGTATTAATGACCTTTGAATCAATTGCCAAATAAGGGGAAACAATTAATTATTTGGAGTTAGTTTACTGAACTTCAATTTCTCGTGTGACCTTAAACGTTAGATGTTTGAATGCAATGCACTTTCCTACTTCACAAAGTTGGGATTCTTTTTCAGTATGACGAATCCCTCCATGACGGGTGTTAGCGCCAGATACTCATCGGTGGCCAGCTCGGCACGCTCGCCTATGGCCAGCAGGACGGGCGTGGTATGGGTCTGGAAGCCGGTGATGGTCTTCGGCTTGCCAGCCTGTCCGACCACATCGATGGCAATGCCCACGCGGACAGGCACCTGAAGCTGGTTGAGCTCCTCGTCGAAGGTGATTAGCATGCGGGCCTGCATGGCCGGCACCAAGGTATAGAGCAGATAATGGGAGCGGTTCAAGATCAGGTTTTTCACATCCAGCAGCGAGACCAAAGTGGCCATCAGACCAGCAACGGCCATGGGGTTCATCAGCTGACGATCGCTATGATAAGGACTCAGCGAAAGCGTGCCCTTGCCCAAATGCGTCAGACTCTGAGCTATCCGCACCATAAACAGGTTGCTGGGATCCTTGGAGTGGTACTGGGCGAGCTGGCGCAGCATCGAGGCTAAACGGGCGTTGTTGGTTCCGGCGCCAACCAAGCCCATGGCAAAGATTGCGTTATGGGCCACTTCGGCATCGCTGTCGTGGGAGAACTTGCTTAGCGTGTCGAGGATGTTCAGCTTGGGATTGGAGGCGGATATGAGGCCCAGGGCCAGGGGAACGGAGCGTCTGATGGCCGGCTCGCAGTAGCGCAGCAGGTTGCCGAAGGAACGGTAGGCCATCTCGGCGCCGATGTCTTCTCCCATGGCGATAAGAGCAATCCCCAGTACTGCGATCGCTTGGGTGGCCGAAAGATCCTTTTCGCGCTCCTTTTCCTTTTCCTTCTCCTTTTCCTTGTCCTTAAAAGAAAATGAAATAAGTTGAATATTACCTTGGAATTCGGATTAAAACCCGTATTACCTTATCCTTGCCCTTCTCCTTCTTGCTCTTCTCCTTCTCATCGTCGGCATTGGCAGTCTCATAGTGATCCGAGCAGATGTGAAGCAGGTGCTGGATCTTGAGCACATTGCCAGTGCCGGCATAGGCGCAAATGTCCACCATTGTGGTGGCCATGCTACGGTACGGCTCCTCCAGAACCTCCAGGGTCATCATAACGGCTTCGGTGGACTTTTGACGGCCCAAGTAGAGCAGACCCAAGCCCAAGAACAGGAACCTCGTGTAGGTGTCCTTCAGATCCGACTTGGTAAGTCCCATAATGGTCTGAAGAAGAATCTCCGTGATCTCGGCGTTGCAAGAACCGACACTGATCAGGCCCAGCGATAGGGCCGTGATTCCTAGGATCTCAACGCTGGCCGAGCTCTTGTTGTTGCTCCCCAAGGAGAAGACTGTCTTTAGAGTGTCGATCACAATGGAGCGATTGGAGCCAGCGTAGGCGATTCCCAGGCCAAGGATGGCACCAACCCGCATGCACGAGTTCTGGTTGTCGATGTAGTCGGAGAGCAGGGCGTGAGCCGGATCGACCTCGTTGCGGATGCCGCAGTTGACGATGCCGCAGGCCAGCAACGCCCCAGACTTGATATTGTCGTCTGTGGAGTACAAGTACTTATCGATCATCGTCAGACCACCATCCACGTCCCACAGCAGGATCAGGCCCAGCGAGGCGGTGGCCGACAGCATGCCGTGCTCCTTGTTCTTATAAAGCCACTTGTTGCCATCTTCGGACAGCAGCTTGTCAACGCCGAAGCCGGCGTTGACGAAACCATTGACAAAGCTGGCGGCCAGGTTCTGCTTGGCCGAGTCCACCTGGATGGAGGCGAAGCGGGATCGCGAGTTGTCCAGATGCGACTTGTAGATGTCCTCCGGCGTCTTTGGCTCCATGATGTCCAGCTCGCGGGCCAAATTGAGGAAGTGCTTGTTCAGGTTCGCATTGGACATTATCTCCATTAGGTCGTCGTAGTCCGCCACTGATTCGTCCAGCTCCAGACAGATCTGCTGGCGGGCCAGCATGAAGGCCAGCTGTTTCTGCATGGCCGGCTCCTTGGGTTCCCGAAAGATCTCGCCAATCTTATCCATGTCGTTCAACATCAGAGCCAGGCGCATGGCCTGCGTGTGCTGGGTGAACTTACGCGCCAACTGCAGGGCCGTCTCCAAGATAATGGTGTTGTCCGGCTCGGGGACGTACGGGTAGCACGACTGCAGGTAAAGGCAGACGCGGGGATAAGCAGACTCGTCGACGTAGTCCCCTAGAAGATGAAGGTGATCAATCTCGATCAGCAGATCGCAGGCATCCGCCTCGGCGTTGTGCTCCATGTTGTAAGGTATTATCTGCTTGACTAGCTCAATCAGTTGGGTGCGGAAGTCGCCTGTCGTGTCGTGGTAGTGCGCCGAGATCTCGCCCGACAGATGACGCACGTACTCGTGGCCCCAGTCGCCGATGCGCTGCTTCCGGTCGCATAGGAAGCGGTAAGCCAGGCAGTCCTTGCCACTGCCCATGGTCATCGACAACACCGAAATTATGTCCGCGCACAGCTGGCGCGTCTGCTCGTCGGGCATGTGTTTGTACACCTTCTTCATGGTGTCGTAGTGCGGACGCATGAATTTGAGAGGCTTGGGCACCGAGGTCATCGACGTGGTGGAGGCCCTGATTAGTTTGGCCATCATCTCCAGCGTCGGCTGGTACAGCTTCTTATCTGACTCTTGCAGGCGCAACACCAGCAACTCGAGCTCTTCCTGCAGTTGCTGGTCCTCGTCGGACAGCTCCTGCTGCTGCTCCTTGTCCTTGTCCTCCTTCTTGCCCTCGGACGATGATGCCGCCGCCGCCTGCTTGGCCTTTAGATCCTTGGCATCGCCACCGGGAGCCGCCGGCTGCGGCTTCTTTTCCTGCTTCGTCTCACCAGTCATATTTGCTATAATGCGGTGCCGCCTATTTTTCCGAATACAAAATCTATTTTATTCCTACTTTCAACACAAAAGTCATGCAGCGTTCGCTTTTGTTCCTCTTTTTTTTCGTTGTTTCAGCAGAATTACACAGCGCTTTTTGGTAGCAGTGTTGCCACCTTTTCCTTGAAAAGAAAAATCTATTTTTGATTGGATTAAAAAAAGCCAAAAAATATTTCGGAAAAAGCTACAAAAAAAATCTGATTTAAAAAAATATATTTGTTGGATTTAGTTCAACGAAAAAAAAATTTTATATTATTTTTCATTATTATGATATTAATTTTATATATATTTATAATCTTATCTCATTTCTGCTATTTGGTCCTAATTTTTCAAAGGATTATCGTGTTCCAATCATTCACTTCTGCAGTCTGCGCAAGCCATATCTGTTAGTAATAATAATAATAAAATATATGTTTATATATAAGGAAACAAACAGTCAAGCCAATTGCAGTAAATTATCAAAATAAAAAGCCAGAATTCCCGCTGCCCGCTGTTTGTACAAGCTTCTAGCAAATGGCATTCAGAAAATGCCAGATTTGACGCGAAAAAGTGAGACTGGCAACAGTGATGGGTAGTGCCATCACTATCGATGTTTGGATTTCTTTTAAAAACACCGATTTGTATGTTTTATCGATGTTTTGATTTTAATTATTGGACTAGGCTTAAAACATGCATATTTTCATTCATTTTATTTCATATTGTACAGTGTACGTTGTAACATTAAAGTGATCAGTAAATATCAAATAAAAAATTATATTTTTGTTTAAAACGTTAATTATAATAATAATGTATGATTTTTTAAGTTTCAATTCATTTTTGTATTCTTTAATATTAAGATAAATTATAAAACAAATGAAATGTTATTTTTTGTTAATACAAATATTAATTAAGCAGAATTACCCAGCGCATTTTTGTAATGCCATCACTATCGACACTATCGATGTTTGGATGTTGTTTTCAAAACATTGATTTTTTTTTTGCAATATATATATTTTTTTTCAAATAAAAATAAAATTATAATGGCGTAAACAAATGTTTTACAAAGGGTTACATATTAAAAAATATATCGCCAATTGATGTGTATTAAAGAATGTATTTAAAACGGGTAAGACACATTTTGGAATCGTTTTGTTTCTTCTGATAGAATTCAATTGTGTAGAGTTAAGAATGAATGCTAGCCCACCCATCGTAACGAATATAAAGGACTTTTAATATATATTCAAATAATTGCAGAAATAGAGAACAAGGCGCAAGCTCAACAGTAAAATATATACATAAATCCAATGTGACAGGTACTGCGCGCCAAGACAAAAACAATGCACATGCCCATGCAAAACAAACCCCTTTTTCGTATACTTAATAAAAAACTAGCCGATTTGATCAAGGGTTAATTCGAAAACACCATTTTATAGAACCTCAAAGGTTGCTTATTAACCTAACAGACCACAGGCTATGTATATGTAGAAGTATGTATATCATTTGCATTTCTCCAATAGGTAGTGGTAAATAGAGTAGTTCGGAATTGGAAACTCCACTGGCGTCCGTCCTTCAGCCGATTAGATCTTAGCGATGCCAATGATGCCACACCCAATCCTGGCACCAGCGTTGCCTGTAGACTTGCTTAGCTCATGGCCACCCTTGCCCAAGTCATCGGCATCGGCATGAACTACCACGGTGCGCCCGATGATGCTGTCGGCGCCAAAGAGCGTAATCTTCGAGTCGGTAATGTTGACCTTGGTGGGGCAGGTGCCAGTGGCGTCGATGTTGCCAAGATCGCCCAAGTGACGGTTCTCGTCTGCAGGAGCTCCATGCTCCTTGCCATGGGGGTTGAAGTGGGGCCCAGACGACATGCATCCATTGGTGTTGTCCCCAAATTCATGCACATGGAATCCGTGGAGACCCTTGGCCAGGCCGCACACCTCCCCGGTAACCTTCACGGGAGTATCGCTGCTCTGTGGGCGACGAAAAAGAGACAGGGTACAATTAAACCGGAGCAAAAGATAATACTTTTCGCTGATAAGGTATAGTTGTGTTTAATCATGACAAGTGCGTATTAGAGTGCTCGAATGACAAGCACTCGCTTTATCATATCTTCGGGCCACTATTACTTTTGTTTTGCGGTCAAAAGTGTAAATAATATTAAATACTGAAGTGTGCCGGGTTTCATGTTTTTTTAGTGATAGGTTTAACAAATAAAAATTGTAAAAATATTATATGAAATTAAATGAATCAATTTATAAAAAGTATACATGGTAAAAGGAAAAACATTAGTTTGGTGCTAGTCATTTGGCCGCTTCTGTATTTACATATGTACATACATATGTACTTGAACCCGCAGGAGTATATCTGGCGAAACGTTGTTGAGCTTATATAATTCTGCATTTGTTAGGTGAGTCGACAGAATCGCAATCGCTCTTAATTGAAATGAATGCAGAATTTAAAACAGCTTAATGCAAGTGGACGCGTGAGCTCAGGCAGGGTTAGGGGCAGCCGGCGATCCGACCTTTAGAACTACTCCGGCCGTTGTTGCTATTGTTGTTGCGCGTCAGCCATTTTGGTAGGCAGCGTAAGACGAATGTATGATGCTTTTATTAAGTATACTCACATCCTGTTCGAAGAAAACCGTGCCCTTGGCATCGCCATTAATTACGCAGACAGCTTTGACCACCATTTTGACGATTGATTATTTTCTAGAATGAAAAAACTTGCAAACTTTTTACGTATTTCGGAAAGTGTGACCGTTTGACAGTCGCTGATAAATGTCACAGCAACAACTACATTGTTCACACTGGTTCACATCTGCTTTTCGTATTATTAAAAATAATTTTAAACCAAACCTATAAAACCAACTCTTTGTATTATAAAACATTTTAAATTATAAACAAAACCAATATTACTGCCTTAATTGATTGATTCAGGCATTTTTAAGCTTTTCCCCAAATTTTTATACTGAAACGGCTTGAAAAGGCTTAGTTGCTACAATGAACTTTTTTTGTGATCTCCACTGCGAAGCAGGGACTAGTTCATTTTCGAACCAAAACTAAGTTTCATTGGCAAACTTTATTGGTATTGCGCATTTTTTAAGCTGATCTTTTGTTTAGTAACTATGGAACTTTGGTAAGTATTTTCAGTGTAATGGTTAACTTTTTATAATGTTCTTACTTATTTCCCAAGGTTGGCCAGTTCCTTTAAGAACCTCACCGAGGAGGATGAATTTACAGACTGCTGTATAAGCGTCGAATCGATCAAATTCCGATGTCACAAAGTAATATTGGGTGTTGCCTCCGACTTCTTCAAACACAGCTTTCTGTCTGGTTTTAAGGAGTCTTCCACCGGGGAAATAGTGCTTACCTACGTGAAGGCGGATACTTTTAAAAAGTTCCGGCTGTACGTCTACACCTACAGCAAGGAGACCTTGGCCAGCTACAGCAACGAGGATGTTATAAGCCTGATGGAGTGCGCCGACATGTGGATGGTCGAGCCGTTGAAGAAGGCCTGCCATGAGATCATCCAGAAAAGGCTGCCACAAATGACCTTCTCTGATCTGCTTCTCTACTTTGAGTTTGCTCAAAACGTCGACGACAAAGCGCTCATCAAGGACACTGCCTTGTATATGAACAAACGATATTCGCTAGATGGCAAGACGGTTTCAGACGAGGTCTATCAATTGGGCGCGGTTGTGTTTAGAGATTTCCTAAAAGAAATAAAGCAAATGACAGAAATAACTCGCTATCAGATGGTGGAGAAGTATGTGACCATACATGGATTAATTCTTAACTTACACAAAATACCAAAATGGGAGTTCAACGGCCTTGCCAATAACAGTGAGATTCAGAAATCAGATGACTATGCAAACCCCAATCCATTCAAGATCGAGAAATTAAACTTGCCTTTTGATACGGATCCCAGGCCTAAAACAATCAACATGGAGTATGTACAGAGCTTGCTAAAACTTGTAAACTTTAAAAGAATGTCAGCCAAGCAATTTTACGACGGACCGGGCAAATCAAAATTGATTACCTTTGAGGAAAAGTTCAATATACTCTACTCAATAGTTGGAGATAATTGTAATTGCTAAAGGTGTTTCTTACAACAAAATAAATAAATGTAGTATACACCAAAGAAATGAATAAATTCCATTTTTTTTAAGAATCGAGTATGACATTGGACTTTTCATTAGAGGCTCTACGACAAGGCAACATTAGCGCAATTTCAATACGAATTAAATGAGTCACATTTAAAACAAAAATAAATCTGTTAAAAAAATAGAAATACGTCTAATGATTATAAAAATTATTAGAAGCCGAGTTGTTAAAATGGTATCGCAATATGTTAACTTCTTGCTGTTATCATGCGGTTAGCTAATACAAATTTTAGTGAAATTTTATACCCGAAATAGGCATGAAATTCTTCTATTTTTCTTTCTTAATTGAAACAAGAAAATGTACATTTGATTTTTGTTCTTTTTTTAATACACAATTTGTCCAAACACTTAAATGGGATTTTCTTCATTAATAAGAATAATAATGTGTGCAATTTTTTCATTCTTTATATGTTGTTATTGTTGTTGTATCCGTAAATTTGTAGATATTACTTATTAATTTTCATCTTTTTGTATTAATGTTGTATTTTAATTTTTTTATATATAATTATATATATATATATATATATATATATATATTACATTTAAATCGATATAGGTAAAGGTATGTAGATAGGTAATAATATTCATTCGCCTGTTTGTTTTGTTTGTTACTTGTGTGGTTTGTGGTTGTTGCTTGATTTTCCCCCCAACTATCTCGGTCACATAGCTATAACATCTTAAACAATCATAATCATCAATCATTACAATATAATCAATCGCATATATCTATGTATATAATTTTGTTTGCTTTGTTTTCCTGCTGCTTTACCTCACTTTAAACTTAAAATGTATTATTATTACTTAGAGAGTAGCGTCATCGAGCATATTGAATTCGTCAGATCTAAAGGGGTTAAAAGGAGTCGTAACTTCGAATCGGATTTCGAATATCGAATTTCGAAAAGGGTGCACTTGCCATGCAGAGTTGCCGCCGTTGAACGGTACATTTTAAGCACAATCTCACAGTTGCCATTATATTAAATGGTTCCATATTCATTTTTATACAATTTTCCCTTCATTTGCCTTGCTTTGCTTCGCTTGCGTTCTTGTACGTTCGCTTTTGTAATGGTTTTGATTCTGGATTGTGGTATAGGTTTAGTATTTGCAAATTCAATATACAAGATGGAGATACTTTTTGTTTTGCTTTCTAATCGTTTCCACCCCGCCGGGGGCCCACTATTTGCCCTTGTTTTGCCGGTGCTTCTGGATCCGCACGCATCAGAGCACCTCGGACACGTACTTGGGTCGCTTGGCAACGGTGGCTTCGGTGGCAGTGGCAGTGGTGACGCACTCCTCCTCGCTGGCCTCGATATGGCCACTGTAGTCGGTTGGCAACTCCTCGTAGATAATCTCTGAATGCTGCTGTTGCACTACCGCCTGCTGCTGGTGCAACGAATGTTGCGATGCCCCGCCGGCCATTACATGGTTGCGCTTTACCGCAATCAAAGCTCCAACCCCGCCGCCTCCGCTGCTCGCGTTGCTGGCCTCAACGCCAGAGTTTTGATTGGTAACATAGTACGAACTGCCGCTGGTAAAAGTCAGAACATTGAAATTAGCTTGCAATGATGATTTTTTGTACTCCTAACCTGTACTGATTGGAATTGTTTGACAGCGTCTGCTGCTGCTGCTGTTGTTGCTGCTGGTGTGCATTTTGAGAGTTGTAGATTTCTGGAAGGAATTTTAATGATTAAATAGCTTAACTTGGCTGCCGTTTAAAGTATCCTTACCGGCATCAGCTGGCCGCTGTTCCAGCGACATTCCCGGCGAGCCAGGAGCGGACTGCAGCACGATATCTTGCAACGGAGAACTTTCGCGAGAATTATCTAAAATTAAAAACAGATAATTAAATAAAGACTACCAGCCGGGAAGTCTCATTAGCCATGCACTTACCCATGTGACTGGGCGATACCGGCGCCGACCGGGGCATTCCGTAAGGCGGACGGAAGCCCTGGCTACTCCGCTGGCGACGCTTCTTGTAGCTATGATCGATTAACTTGGCGCCGCTGTCCGGATCGATCCGCCAGAAGGAACCCTTGCCCGGCTCGTCCTGGGAGCGTGCCACTTTGATGAAATACCTGCAAGATTAAGCGGGCACATTAAAATAAATATTTATATAAAATATTGTAGCCTAGTTAAGGTTATGAATTTGAAAATAGTACAATTACTTAACCCTTGCACCAAGCTGATCTAGCCCAGCTAGTCTCTCAGTTTAGTAGTTGTTTTCAATTCAAACCTTGTTCTAACTATAATTCGTTATTGGTGGTTGTGGATCACAGTGGAGGATGCTCACCTATTCAAACTGAGATTATGACGTATGGAATTCTGCCAGCCCTTGTTTGTCTCCTTGCGGTAGTACGGATAGTGCTTGACAATGAACGAATAAATGCCCGAGAGCGTCAGCTGCTTGTCTGGAGCGGCCGATATTGCCTGAACGATCAGCTGGGCGTAGCTATACGGAGGCTTCTCGTTGTGATTGTAACTGGCTGTGGAGGGAGTCTGGAACAGATCCTGCTGTAAATGTAAGTGTAAGTGTTGAAGGGGGTTTCATTTTTACGTTCATGTTAAGGGTTTCAGGTTGCGCCAGTTACTTACCGTATTGTTGTTACTGTAATTGTTGTAATTGTTGGGCTGATTCTGAATGAAACCCTGACGTGGACTAGCCGGACAACTGTTGGCAGCGCTTATTGTACCTGTGTTTAAAGCAAAAATAAACAAAGTTAGCATGAGGAACTCATGGCACTGGTGTTTAAAATCTCAGCTTAGCTTTAAATCGATTAGATAAACATTCCATGTAACTAATACAAAGTGTTATCTTGAAATATTGTAAATAGAAGGAAATTCCACTTGCCAGTTGGTGACAGGTAGGGACTCTTTTGCTCCTTTTTGGGTATGGATATCTTGAGCGGTGAGTAGATACCGGGTCCATCACCGGCGGCTATCAGGTGGGCTGCTGCCCCCGTCGGAGGCCCCACCACTATGTTACCGGCGCGTTGTTGTTGTTGCTGCTGTTGCAGAGCTGTGTGGTGAAGCGGGTGGTGTGGTGTATGCGGGAGTGGTTGGTGTGCCGTCTGCTGTTGCAGCGGCAGGTGCTGCGCTGACTGGTGGATGTGCTGCTGCTGCATTTGCTGCTGCTGGTGATGGTGATGGTGTATCTGCTGCTGCTGCTGCAAATCGTCCCTTGGAGGGGGGGTTATGATGACATGGGCGCCCCCGGCACCTACGCCACCTACGCTGCTCACGACCAAGGATGGCGAGTGAGTGCCGGTAGCATCCGATGGAGGGGCGGGCATGTAACTTTCAAATTCAATCCGAATCTCCGTGCTAGGAAAACGAAAGTAGCAGCTGCAGAGGGAAGATTCAATATCAGCACATACCAAACAGCAAAAACTAAAGAGAATCTCTTCTCCAATTCTGGTAATTACACTTACCGTTGCGGCAAACGCAATGGATCAACATTACGGCGCTGCAGGAAGTCGTCCACGAATATACCATTCTTGCTGAGGCACTGAACAAAGAAGGCGCGCAGTTCCACGTCGAAGAGGACCTGGAAGTGCTTCCGCGACACCAGATTGTTCTCGGCCACGTTAAAGTGGACCAGCGATGTGGAGGAGTTGCGTCCGATCACTGTCACCGCGTCCGTGATGGGCAGCACCTCCTGGTTAAACCGTAGCTCTCCATACGGCGGAGGTGAGGCGCTGGCGGTGGCTGAGGCGGAGGGGGTGGTGGTGCTGGCAGGTGGGTGGTTTGCTGAGTTGTTGTTGTTGATCAGCTCGGCGCTACTGCTGTTGCTGCTATTGTTGTTGTTGTTCAGCGCCGCCGCGGCTGCTGCTGCTGCGCCGTGGTGCAGCTGCAACATGTCCTTGGCAATGGCAACAGTGGCTGCGTCGGCTGCGGCGGAGGCAGCGACGCCGGCTGTGGCAGCGGCCGCAATGCCGGTGGGAGTGTTAAGAACGGTATGTACCGTTAGAATATTATTATTGTTGCTGCTGCTGGCACTGTTGATGCTGCTGCTGTTGTTGGTGCTGCTATTGCCGGTGGTTGTTGCTAATGTTGTGGTTGTTGATGTTGTAGTGGCTGCCATTTAAAAGGTAAATCCCACTTTGTCCAATGTTCTTTTAGTTTTTCTTGCTGTTGTTGGCCTGTAAGGGTATAAAATTAAGAAATATATTATATTATAATTACATGTATATATTGTGTACATCATTTATAATTTCGAATTAAGCTTAGGTAATTTCACTGATTTTGTTATATTTATATGTATGTACATACATATGTATGTATGTATGTAGGTACATGCACATGTATCGTATCTACAATAACTTTTTTGCTTTTAACTTGGCGAGTTTGTTTATGGACATTTTTTTAAATCATAACTGGTACCGTTTATTTTCTTAAATTAACATTTGTATTTCGAGCGCATTAATTATTTTATGTTTTGTTTTTTTTTTTCACAGCTTTTCACGCGCTTTTCGCTCTCTTTTCGTTTTGGCCCCAAGGTTTCTTCTTTTCGTCAGCCAAATTATTTTCCAAATATATACAAACATACACACACAAACACACAGAAAGAAGCACACTGATACAGCGACGTCGATGCCTGATTCTGGTTGCCCTGCTGACTGGCAGTTTGTCTCCCTCACACCTCACCGCACCATCGCTCCAACCCCTCCCCCACCCACAACCATATCGCTGCTGTTTCGGTTTTTGCTTTACTCTGTTTTGCTACCGCAGCCGCGCGCACAGAAACGCATATATATGTAGGTACATATGTTCGTACATACCTCGGTCGGCAACAAAAACAAGCGCCGATTGAAGCAACAACAATAATAATAATAATAATAACACAACTACTACTACTACGCGACTGGCACTACGTGAGTAAACACACACGCACACGGAGAGCCAGCACAGAGAGCGGCAACACGCTTGCGCTCTGCTCTCTTTCGCTTTCCCGGGCAGTGTGGAATGGAGCGGAGCAGAGAAGTTGGCATATTGCCGGCGCAAAGCAACAGCAGCACCGATGGGAAAATCTCCAACTCCACACACACACGGTGAAGTATGTACATATGTATGTCTCATTCTCTCCAAAACTGAGCTTCCGGCCAGTGTTGCCAACAGACGAGAAATAGCCAAATAAATCATTCAAAAGCTGTAGAAGACTGCATTAAAGTGGGTTATGCTCGTACGAGTACAGTGGTAATTGAGCTAATGACAGGTTGGACTCCTCCCTTTTTATAATTAACAGTGGTAACTTTCCCAAAGAAAAATGCGCCTAACAAAGTCGGAACTTACTTTAGCTTAAAGGTTTAAACCAAAATTGTGGTGTCATTTCTAAATAATTATCAAACGAAAATATTTAAGTTATTCTAAAATGATTTAGAAAGGGCTCAAGTGCGAAAGTTACGCATAGTCCAAGATGACTAAGGAACCCTTTACTCAAAGCTTTGTTTATGAATTTGAATTGATAAAATCGACTTTCATAGAAATATCGCAGAGATAAGATATAAGAAGCTTTTTGTACGAACCATACATATCCTATCTGGCTTATGACCTAATGTACATTGTTACTTTTATTGTCCTTCCTGGTGTCTGGCTTGAAGCCTGTAATGATGGCGATATTGACTTGTTACCGAATACAACTTGGCAACTAACATTACTTCGTGTGCCTCGTTCGGTTTCAGAAACAGCCCGTTGTTTTGCACCTGTTTTGCAAATTGAAAACTTTACAGCTAGCAACAACAAATTTTTGTGCATGGTTTTTAAATTTGTCTACATATTTACATACATATGTACATATTTTTGCATATGTAAATGCACTCGATATCAATTCCATGGCGACCGGAGCCATTCGAAGAACGATCTGCATCTTGTGAGTCGCAGTGAGAAAGGGGGGAAATCAAATAAAGCTGCTTTTTTTTACCAGTTGATAAACGGACGTTGGCAACACTGTTTACTGTTCACTTCGCGGCTTGTTTGGCTCCACACTCATACACTGAAACAGATTGAGAACTCTCGCACTGGCAGGCCCCACATGGCTCCCCATCAATCGATCGAGCTTGCATGCATAAACATGCAAAACGAAACCAAAATAAAATTAACGAGAACAACAAAAGGCAAACAAACGCCCATACATACAGCCATATAAATAAACACACGCATACACACACAAGTTACATATATATTGGCGAGTACATACGAGTGTGTGCATGTGTTAGGTCACTCGTAACGGCAACGGCGGAGGCACCGAAAGAGAAACACAATAAATAAATAAAAACACCAAAATACACTCACACACACACGGACACACATACAGTTGGCGTATTGGAAATGCGTAAAAATGCCGCTCGTTGATTTTTCAGCTAGCAACCGACTCCACCTGCGCATACATACAGACGACGGGTGTCTTGTTTGTCTCTTTGTAAACACATAAAAAGCACACTTTTCACAACGTAGCTGCTCTCTGGTTTTTGCTCGGCGATTGCGTAAACTGCCGCCCGCTTTTTTCCCACCTAACATCAAAATATGTACACACACTTGAGGCTACCCATACATAAATCGTGTGCGAGTGTTCGGCGTTTGTATGTGTGTGCATCACTTGAGCGTGTTCTAAAATAAAAACTTAATTTTTATTTATATGAAATTGTGCTGGTTGCTTTTCCGCTCGCTCTACTATTGATTCTATTATTACTATTTCGCTCTCTTTCGCTGTTTATATTTTCGCCGTTGGTTATCAAACTCGAACTGTTTTTGTTGTTTTTCTATTTGCCTTCCTTTTTTGCACACAACACGTTTTTCGCTGCGTGTTTGTGTGTGTATATTATTTTTTGTTCGCCTTGTTTATTTTTATTTTTTCGTACCTTCTTGAAAAAACCTACGGACTTCGGAATTCGATAAAACTCGCGAAATGGGCGTAACACTAGTAATTTGGCAAATATTTTAAACCGATTTGTGCACTTTTTCAGCGATTTTAATGCGGTTTTTTCCGATTCTTATTGCTTGCAGCGCAGCGCGGTGAGAGAGAAGAAGAAGACACACGTTCCCTTGATCATATGGCAACGCTGGCGACGAACCAGCGAAAGGAAAGAGCGCATGGCCACTGGTGGCAACGCTGAGCGTCAGCTGTTCTGCCGCCTTTTGATTTTGTAATAGTTTGGAATTTTAAGCGAAAAATGCAGAGCCTGACCCGTCTGCTGAACACCGCCCTTACCCTGCAGCCCCCGCAGCGGCTGGGCAATGCAGCAGCCGTGGCCTTGCAGCAGTGGCGAGGCAAAACCAAAGTAGTAGAGAAGCCCAAGCCAGGCGCCGGTCAACAATTCCGGCGCACCGTGCACTTTCCGGAGGAGTACACGGTGGAGCCACTAGAAATCACCCATCTGGCTGGCCGGGATCCTGTCTCTGGTCGTCTGGTGGCCAAGGGCATAGGCGGCGGCGTCAAACAGCAATACCGATGGGTCAAGTGGGTACGTGACGGTCCGCCGGAAGGTGCGCCGAGGGAGGAGTTGGTGCTGGAGGTGCTTCGCGACGGCTGTCGAACGGCCAAGGTGGCCTTGGTGGCTGTTGGCGACGAGCTGAAGTACATTCTGGCCACGGAGAACATGAAGGCGGGCGATATTCTGAAGACCTCGCGAGTGATCCCAAGGATTCCGGGTAAGAGATCTTATGTTCAATGAAGTATTACAAACTATCAAATATTTCGAAATTACACAAATAATATGGTCTTAAAGTGCGAGTTGAAATTATATGATAATTACAAAAAGGATGGTAGAGAATTAGTTTTTTTTTAAATATATAATATAAATCGTTATTCATTTAAATTATTACAAACAAATTTCGTAATTCCTGTAGTGCGTCCTAACGAGGGCGATGCGTACCCGCTTGGAGCTTTGCCCGTTGGAACCCGTATTCACTGCCTGGAAAAGAATCCTGGCCAAGCGTGTCATTTGATCCACGCCGCCGGAACCTTTGGCACCATCCTGCGCAAGTTTGATGACAAGGTGGTGGTACAGCTGCCCTCGAAGCGCGAGTTCGCCTTCCACCGCACCTGCATGGCCACTGTGGGCCGTCTGTCAAACACAGAGCATAACAAGGAGCATGTGGGCAGTGCACAGCGCATGCGGGAACTGGGCAATCGTCCGCGATCTGGTCTATGGAAGCGGAAGGAGGGCAAGCACGGAAGGAAGATACGCCGCCTGCCACCCATGACCACGATAGCACCGCCGGCACCGCCTAAAGAAGAAGCCATCAGGCTGACCCTGCCCCTGTGAGGCTTTCGTTTAATTTCTATGTTTCACACATTATACAACTAGAACTAGAGCTATTTGCGCGTTTTCTTCATGGAAAATCCAGTGCCGTGGAAGCTCTCGGCGTCCGATCCGTCCGCGTTACCAGCTCCGGCGGCGTCCTCGCTTCCCCTGTCACTGATGGGTCGAATGTTACGGTCAAAGCGGATCAGGCCAAACTCAAAATCGTAATCGGGAACTCCGCGAGGCAGAACCTTTTTAAGGACCGGCGTCTCCATCTGGTTCTCCTTCTTCTTCTTGCCATCTAAGCGTACGCCAGAGCCTTTAAAGGTTTCAACCACCTCCTCAAGTACTGTATTAGCTCCGGCGGAGACTTCACCAGCCGCAGAGCCCGCGGAGCCCTTCTGACCGGAGCCTGAGGCCTGCGTTTCCGCGTGATCCTTGTAACCCACCGGAGCCTCAAACTCCACGTTCATGTCGCACTCGATGATGCTGACAGCATTTCCAGGCTTCGTCTCCAGGACGCACAGCTCGTAGACTTTCTTGTTGTATTTGATGGCGATTACATCGCCCTTAGTCAAGCAAGCGAAGTTGCGGAGTGCGTTCTCCAACACCGCTTTGGGGTTGGTGATGTCCAGAAAGTCCGTGCTGTGCGGCTGAAACTTCGAGAACGTGGCCACCGGCAGGGATACGCTCTCGATATTGAGGATATCGCCTTCCTGTAGCAGCAGATTGTCCATCATCCAATAGGGCAGATAGCATTTACCCTCGTCGGCGACGAACTCGAGGACGCCGGCGTGTGAGGAACGTGACTTCTTGCCGTTCGTGAGCTTGAACAGCATTGGGTACTCTACATTCAGGCGGGTGAGCGTGTCCAGCGCCGAGGAGGGCATAATAACTGCAAGGTAAGTGGAAAAATTCGAGGTTATCAAGGGCAGATTGCCAAATATCCGTATGACACTCACTCTTTCCACCCTTTTCCACGTCGGATCGTTCGTTTCCGGGCAACATTGACACGGAGAAGCACTTATACGTAGCGTGGAAACTGCGCCCCTCTGGGAACATCATGTTGAAGCCGCTGAAATGGAACATACTGTGTGTGCTTGGCCCTTTCCTGGCTCGCTTGAACTGACTCAATTTTCTGCTGGATCCCCCAGTCTCTATTTTTCTCAGACTGTTTATGTTTTTTCCTAAAGTCACGGCCAGTGAGACCGTAGTTGCATAAACCAAATTCGTGCTTGGCAAACTCTGGATAATATTAATACTAGAAGCTAACACCTTCAGTATCCATATATACATATAGATAGATTATTAATTATCAATGGCAATCAGCAAGGGTATACAGACATCGGCGTGCCGAAATAAGTTTATAACAACAGTACCAAATATGTAAAAATACATTGGATTAAATTGTGAAGTTGCGGTAAATAACTTGATAGTTTAGGTCCTTTAAAGAGACGGATAATATCAGATAAGTACCAATAAATACGTTTTCACAATGAGCTTAAAAGCTCATTCGTCTTAATTTTCGATTGTAGAAACGGTATATTTCAGTGTGTCCGGCCAGATGATATATTTTATCAGCCAGGTGACGGTCACACTATTAAGCCGGTGGTTGCGCGCGACATAGTCCCGCTTAAATAAATTCAGTCAACGAGTTATTGATTCGAAAAAGTGCTGCTATTCAAGTGAGTACCGATACCAAATCGAATGGGAAAATTCTTGCATCTGGTACACAGCTGTCAGTGGATAATTTCACACAGGATTCGCTCGGCAATCTTTTCAGTGCGCGCGTGTGTGGTATATCCTTGTGTATCCTTGTAGTCTGGCTGGCGCCGCGTGTTTTCGCGTGGGTGTGTATGTGTGAGTGAATAGATTTTCGCCAATATTTTCTCCACGCCAAATATGAAACAGATCGGCTGTACTTGAGTCTTAAACAACAAAAGGAGAAAATGTGTGTCTAGAAAAATCAATAAGCTGTGAAACTGATTGGGTGTGAAAGAAAACGGGCGGCGCTAGGGGGAGGTGGTCGGCGGCGTTTACAAAAACTTTTTCCCAAAATGTAAGGTCTTTCGCTGCGGCGAGAGTACAGTTACAGTTACTTTCGATATTTTGCATAAAGTTTGAGAGCCACTGCCGCCATGTGCAGCTGTTTTCAAGTCTGTTGTGGTTCGTTATTGTTGCTTCGCAGCTGCAGTAGCAACAAACACAACACCAACAACAACAAGGCAGGAGCAGAGAGCGTATGCGACAAAGGGCGAAACAAAAAGAATCAACTTCCCTGCGCACTCTCCCGCTCTCATATCTTCTGGCAGCTTCCAGACGGCTCCGCTCCCGTTCTCTTTTTCTATTTTCGCCCAACAACAAGAGGAACACAAACCTTACATATATGATTCATAATCGAACTTCCCCTTCTCTCTCGTCCTTTACATCTACCTCCTGAAGTGTTCATATCTCGTGTGTAATTTACTTATTGGAATTGTGGTGGTCTAACGAAAGGTTCTAATAAGTTGTTAATTTCACCATAAGAAGTACGATATGTCCTGATGAAATCAAATTGTGAAATTCCTTTCTTAGATATATTATTTTCCCCTTTACATAGTCTAAGTAGTTTATAAGTCAGATAACGATCGGTTTTTTTTTTTTAATTTCACCTCTAAAAAATCCAATCTTTGAATTTGTGACCTAACTTTAGTATCTAATTGCATACTTTTGGGATGGTTTTAAAATCTAGCGAGACACCCGGAAAACCAACAATGATACCCTTGTCAAAATAAAACATTGGTTGTTTTTTAATAAATAGGAAATATCTTAAATTAAACTATAATTATTATTCAATGAAGAATAATTAGGATTTAGACAGATATGTCCCACTGTCCAACATTATATCGTAAGAGAGGGGAGCGTACGCTTTTTGCGTCTGAGCACTAAATTTAACAAGCAGAAGTGGAACAAAATAGACCAACGTCCCGGAAAGTATTTAAGTTTTGAAATAGCAGGGCGGCGAGTACTTTTGCAACAGTGCCTCAAAAACTGTATAAGATGCACAATAAATCGAAATAAAATAAATAATATTTTCGAACCAAATCCGAACCTCAATTCGGTTTGCTTACGTCAAGCAAACAATTTTCGAATTGGAAGAAATCGGCTTTTTCTGCGCGAATGATATCATGACTAAACAGATTGCTCCCGGCCACGGATGAGTTGTGGGCGGGCGTTGGGGTGGCAGCAACCCTGCAAGGTCATAGCGTGTACACAGTGCCGCTGCCGTTTGAAAGGTGTGTGTGTGTGTGTATGTGGAAATGACTGACTTGATGGTCTCCTTATTGCAGCATGCACCGCACAAGCGACTCTCAAACTCTCCGAAGGTACATATCTCTCTAGGTACTTCCAAGGATATTATCAGTATCAGTTATTCGAGTTTTTTCCACTGATTGGAGCACTAATGCGTATACTTTGGAGACAATAACAACATAGCCTAAAGTTTCCACAAATGAAAAGTTTTTAAAATTAGAAAAATAAAACGAAAAGGGTCAAACTAAGAATCGCGTAAAAAACAACTTCTTTAAACTTTGAAAACCAAAACGCTTTTCTAGTTTTTAAGGTTATGAAAGAAAGCGGCCAACTTCTTATATTAATGATTAGGAAAGCTAGACATATAAATATAAATATAATATATAGTAAGAAGCCGTAATCATAATTATAATAATATTTTGAAATATAACGGGGCTACAAATATTTGTTGAATAAATCTTTGATTCTTTCGCTGGTCATGATATTCATTATATACTAATGCAAAAAAAAATGTTTGGAAAGTAGTTTAATCTAAAATGCTCTTCAATTCTCCTCTAACTAAAATTGTAATGCTGGAAAAGGGTATAAATATTAATAAGATTTATGACCTTATACATAAGTCTGTTGCCAGGGGCCCATAAATTTATTCAATGGGAATAGTTTCTTTATATCTACTACATACAATATAAATATAAATGGTACAGTAAACAATTCCAGTCTATGTTTATATGTATATACACATTTGTCCAAACATACATATGTACATATGTACAAATATAAAAAAATACAGCCATATGTATGCGAAATTCAATGAGGCAGCAAAAAGCGCCTTTTGTTGTTTTGGTTCTTAAATCGCGGCGATGTTGTTTTTTTGTTTTTGTGCACACGTTTTAAAAATCAGCCGACAAACTCGTGATTTTTATTTTTGGACAAGAAAAAAAAACCACAACCGCCTCAAAGTTCAAACTCTTGGGATGAATTTTAAGAAGGTAGAACAGAAAAGAATTGGAAAATAATGAGTATAACAAGCAATAGGCAAAAAAAGTATGCTCGTGCTGGCATTATTTTGCTCTTTCAATACTCAAATTGGTACAGTCATCACGTGATGGAAATGTTTGACATAAAATAACAACATAATAACCCAGTTATTATAAAAGGAATTGTAAAAGGTAGAACAAATCTTAAAATGGTCCATGTAAACACCTTTTTTTGAATCGTTTTCTTTTCTTAATTTATTTAATTAGAGTTGTACGGCTTTATTGATAAATACTTGTATACTCATTACTAATAGAATGATGATTAAATTTAAGTATAAAACGGGCTTATCCTTTAAAGGGTATGTCGACCACGACGCTATATTTTTTTATTCGGAAACAAGATAATATTCAAATTTTAAGGAATATAAAAGTTAATTATATATGCATTTTCAAACCATTTAAGTTCAATATATGAGAAACATCTAATTTAGTAACTTATTTAATATTTATATCTATTTTGTAATATTTGTTTCTCTTGGTTACAAACTTCTTGTTTTTGCCAATGGTTTGTTGCACGTGTTTGTTAATTATTTGTTTGTACGTCTTTCACACTTGAGGGAACACTTTCAATTGGATCGGACCGGCTTTGCGTTACTTGGCATATGAATGGGCAACGGGATACCCTGTGTGGGGCAGCATTGGGTTGCTCTCGTGAGGGAGCAAAGAAAACAAATAGTTTGTTCACTATTGGGATGGTTCACTTAAAGTTATATTACTTAATTCTATTATTGTTCAATTATCCAGATTTGCAATAGGTTTACTGGCTCTAAATCCGAAAGAGTTTTTTATTGTTAAATTTGTATATTAAAAATGTATCTTTTAGTGCTATAGATTCATAGATCATGAAAAGAGCAAGTAAGGAAGAAACTGAAGCAAAGTAAAATATTTAGCAAGGAATTGGTACTGTAAGAACTTGGTGAACTCACTCATTGAAAAAGTGAGCAACTAAGCTTGATCCCTCAAGTGAAACCTTTTACGGGCCAGAGCCTGGGCTCGCCTAGTTTGACAGCAATTGGATCAGGCGGTGTTAATTTAAAACAACTTACCCCGGATTCAGCGGCGGCATGACCTTGAACTTGCGGCAATAACCACCCCAATAATGTGCAAAAGTGAGCCCACCATCGCAAAGCCAACGGGGAGCTACATACACATTCACCACCAACAACAAGTGGAAATCGCTTTAGGGGTGGTAGTGCATTGGGTTGACTTGGTCCGCCCTGGAAACAACCGTAACAGGTCTTTATCCAGGCTGTTTCGGTCTGATCCGTCCTTGGGACAGTGCGGCAAATTAAATCAATATTAAATGCAGTTTACTATTTGAAGCGGCCATGGAAATTGCAGTTGGTAGGCGGCAGGCAATGTCAAGGCTGTCGGTGACGCGGCAGGTGCACTGTAAGAACGGCAGTTTGGCTGTATAATTAAGAACTAAATGAACTAGAATCCAACACAATTCTTTGATTAAAAGTAAAACAACAATAATATTTAATTTAACTGGTTACTTTACCGTTCAATAATGCAACTTTAATATATAAATGTTCCACTTGTATGGTGATAGTTATATAGCTCCTCACCTTTAGCATATAAGTATGTACACACTTCTCTCTTCTACTAGTATACCTTTTCTTGGGCCATCTGTTGTTATTTTGCACATGCCATTCAATCCAGTTTAATTTTCTATTTCCATGACATGCAATGGCAATAGTAAAACCTGAAGCCAGGAGGCGGGAGGCGGCCTGCCCATTGATTGTCCAGCTCAAAGTCGACCTCCTCGGTCTTAAGGGTTCAATTTAATTACCAACTGTCCATCTACCAGGCAATAACTATTATTTTGTATTGGACTAAGTGCGTGAATTGATTTATTGAGCAAGGAAGTTACGTACGGACACTAGGGTTGCTCATTAAAATTAAGTAAATAAATTATATCGAGTTACATTTGCTTAAAACAAACTTAATCAGAAGAAGCAGTACAGATGTCTTGGGATGGGGCTTTATTTTATTAGATGTTAAATTTAATTATATGTATAATTAATATTATTGGATTCCAAATAAGTCTCTATATACATTCTCTCTTCAGAATTAGCTTTTCAAAGACCGAAAACCCGACCACTTTGCGTGCTTTGCTTATTTATAGTTCAAAAGTTCAAAATACGCAACAAAATTGTAGGCTATTACCATAAAACTATGATTGTTTCCTTCCCATTTTCATTGTGAAAATGGGAAATGTGCTTTTTTAGAGGGGGCAGAGAGCCGGTGAATGTAGCACGCAAATATAGAAATTTCGCAACCATACGTCATGGCATAAACGGCATAGAGCGTGGCGACCTTGCCAAGCCGCGGTGTCAGCCATTGTCCTGGTTACACTTGCCCCAGCCCCAGCTCCAGGGGTCTATCCGCTATTCTCTGACCTCCACGCAGCACCCTCTTGGCGTCATTTGTCTTCCACTTGTTTTCTGCGAGGGATGTCCGGGGTTCTCGGCTCTTATATTCGCATCAATGTCAATGTGTTTATTCTTTGTTTGTTTGTGGTGAGTGTGTGAAATAACGGCAAATGTTTATAGGTTTTTTGTTTCTGGAAGACGGTGTATCATTTGTAAACATTTAATAATTCAGGTTCTTTATATAAATTTACCTAATTAATACATACTTAAGTCTCAATAATATATTAGAGGAAATGTAATGTGAGTTATATAAAAATTAAATCTATTCTGAAGATAAATGATAAATTTAAAGAGCAGTCTTTGATCAATGATGATTATTGTAAACAATGAAAATAACATGTTTGCATCACTTGCACACAGTCTGGACAATAATAACAATAACAACGGCAGGCTACAATTACGAATTTTCAATTGCGATTTTTCATTTTCATTTGAATTGTCGCACAGCACGCCCTACCATAAGATCCGGCCACGTGCTTTTGTCCGGCTGTACCGCGAAATAAACAAATTAAGGAAAAACTGGACAACACACAAGTCAGTTCACATGGCAAACAATTCAATTTCAATTGGAAAACCCATTCATTGATAGCTTGTGTTCCGCTCGTTACCGGTTAAAAGTAGCTCAAAAACGATGAGCGCACACGCAAATCGAGTGAAAATGGAAATTACTTGATGCATCAGCGTACAGTGCGTTTCATTCTAAGCGATTTAAAAATATATATTATATGTCGATCTTAGTTTAGCACCACTAAATGGTTGTTAAATGTTTTTATATGAAGAATACAACTTATATAATGATTTCAAGCAATTTTCCTTTAATTTGCCTAAGAAATTGATTGCTGAAAATAGCTATGAATTTAAAAATCATCCAAATACCTAATAACATTTCAATTTGGTCATATTTTGCGTTATTAAAATTTTGTGAATACACAAAGTAGATTTTTATAGTTTTGTCGATATCCTTGTATTATTATTGATGTATATTTTTATATTTTTGTCGATATATTCATATTCTCGTCGATATGTTTACGATAAAACTAAATGTTTTATAAACTATAATTGTTGAATAGATATATAGTTTAAATGTGTAATAAACTCAAAAGCTAAATTAAGTTTAGTATTTCTATATTTTACATTTCAAAATGTCAAACTTTTCCATAGTGAAACTAAATTTTTGGCCATCTATTATATTTCGATATCGATTTCAATACTTGCGATACGCACTGTTCTTTTGAAAACTAAATCCCGGCTGTTTTGACCGGTTTGATTTGATTGTTGATGGAGGCGGTTCTAAAACCATTTTCGGTTTAAAGAGTATTTAGTTGTCATCAGGTATTTGTCAGTAATGCTTGGATTTAAATTTATTTTAAATATCCTGTATTATTAAAAGAATGTTTTCCTTATATTTTTTTTGCAGACATGGTGAATAATTTTCTATGGTGGAAACAACTTTGCTACCCCAAACGTCAGGTAAGTTCGGCTTATTTATATAAGAGGAGAACACCTTTAAAACGGTTGTTTTATTTTTAATATTCCTTTTACTTCTTCACAGTTTGCCAACTCGACAATTTTTAACTCCTACTCAACATAACAAGAAACTTATTAGTAATAACAACACACAACAACACTATTATCCACTTACTCAACAACATCAACAACTGTCGTTTAATTCCAACAATTGCTAGAGGAGAGCCATCCGAGGATTAAATGAATGCAAGTGGAGTTGATGTTGTGCCTGTAAACGATAGCAGCAACAATAACAGCAGGGATTCGTCAGGGCGAGGAGGTTTTTAATTTACGAGTCTATTTCTTTTGTGTGTTTGTTTAGTCCGCGTTTAATTGTACATCTTTTTTACTTATTTTTTTTTTACTTATTGCATACTTTTGCGGCAGAGCTGGTCCTCAGCTTTTGAAGTGAAAGAGCGGAGATCGCTTTATTCAGGGAAATAATTAATTAAGTCACCCAGGCTTCGCACCGTGCGAGTTCCAAGCGGCGACAATGAAGTTTAAGCGCAAATATGGCTGTTTAGAGAATATTTGAAACGAATTTCTCACTTATTAACCAATTTGAATTTTTTGTTTCGACCCTCATTTGTTACTCGTAGTCTTGTATTTTATAAGTTTTGAACGATTGTTTTGCACAATTTAAGTCATTTACAAAACCACATCACAGTTAAATTCGCAAATACCCCCCACACACAAACAATACATAAAGATTTTGAGTTTCGGTTTTAAAGAAGAAGAGGAAAAGGCAGGGATAGTACTCAGTATTTAGTTAGAGTTGAAGAGTTTAGAGGCTTGGACAGGAGACACAGAGAAAGATAGAGAGTTTTGAATTACATTTAACACCAAGCAACGTAACAACATCACAAACGGCAACATGGAGAGCTTTTCGCCGGATCTATTATGGATGGTGGTCATCGGCTTTATGATCGCGTTCATTCTGGCCTTCGGTATCGGTGCCAACGACGTGGCCAATTCCTTTGGCACCAGTGTCGGCTCCGGGGTCCTTACCATCCGTCAGGCCTGTGTTCTGGCCACCATATGCGAGATATCGGGGGCAGTTCTGATTGGTAAGTAACTAAATACATTTAATAAAGCATATGAATTTATTTTGTTAAAGACCTTATCTTGCGAGTTTACTAAGATTTTCATTCTTTGCAGGCTACAAGGTGTCAGACACCATGCGCAAAGGAATCCTGGAAGTAGGCTTGTACGAGGGCGCCGAGGAGGTGCTAATGCTGGGATGCGTCTCTGCTTTAGCCAGCAGTGCCGTGTGGCTGCTGGTTGCTACCTTCTTAAAGCTGCCCATTTCGGGTACGCACAGCATCGTGGGCTCCACAATCGGCTTCTCACTGGTGGCGCGTGGCGTCCAGGGTCTGAAATGGTCCACGCTGGGTACGATCGTTGGTTCTTGGTTCATCTCGCCAGTGATGAGTGGTATTGTGAGCATCCTTCTTTTCCTGGCCATAAGACGCTTCATTCTGCGCGCCCAAGAGCCGCTGAAGGCGGGCTTCCGTTCCTTGCCCATTTTCTACGGCGTGACGTTCTTTATCAATGTGATAAGCGTAGTGCTAGACGGACCTAAGCTGCTCTACATGGACAACATCCCAACTTGGATAGCGGTGGTTGTCAGCCTTGGTCTTTCGTTGCTGGTAGCTCTGCTCACGCAGATTGTGATCGTTCCGCTACAGCGCCGTAAGATCGCCAAACGATTGCGCGCCGAGAATCCGGTCAAGTTTAACTTCGAGGACTCTGTCGGTAAGTTGATCAAGAAATAAATATCATAGAAATCGTAACCCAGGTTCAGCATAGCAACATACAGATCTAGACGTAATAAAAGACCTAATTTTAAATACAGTCTAATCCCTATAATTCGTACCCCGCTAAATTGAAAATCGCGATAATTCGTAAAAAATTCTTTCCCCTTGAAAAAAACTCGTTAATTCGTAAAAATTCCATACATTTTGGTCCCCTCATTAATTCGTATTATTCGGCTCAACGCAATGAATATTGAACCTCTTATAATTTTCGTAACCTCTTATAAATCGTAATGCGATGCGAATTTTTTTGTAATTAAAGCACCGTTAGATTTTGCATACAGCAATGCCGCTTTATGTCGCTATGCATTATGAATTTTGTGTTTCTCTCGCTGCTTTCTTTTAGTTTGCTGATTTTTTTTCGGAGAGTAACATCGTTCTGGGAAAATGTCACAAAAACGTACGCAAAAGACGTTACCAATCGCGCAAAAACAAAGCATTATTTCGGCGATTGATAATGGAACAAAGAAAATTGAGGTGGCAAAACAATTCGATGTCGCTCCATCAACAATAACATCAATTCTACAGAAAAAAGAGTATAATGCAAGCCAATTTTGGAAGAAGCTTTGCCCAATAATTCTGAAAGTGACCAAGCAATCAAAAATTACCAATTATTTTAAAGCTTGAATTTTCGTTTTTTATAATTTAATGTTTCTGCTTAATTGTTTAATTTTTTGTTACTATAATTTTATGTTATTGTTTTGTACATACTTATAATGTTTGTTTAATTTTAATTTAATTTAATTTTAATTAAAAACCCCGTTTATTCGACTCTTTCATTTTTGAGCCCCATTAAATAGAAATCTCGATAAATCGAATTCCCGTCTAATTCGTAAAAAAAGTGATCCCCTTGCCATTTCGAATTATCGGGACTCGACTGTAATATTAAACAGAGAAGAGCTACTAATCTTGCATTTCGGACTCTTAAATTGCTTAAATTAAATTGTTAAATTGTTTTGTTGGCAAAATTTATTCAGAAAGACAATGGTATAATGATGTCGATCTTTGTTTTCACAGCCTGTATACATTTAGGCATCAAATGGTAAATAGCGAATAAGCAAACATGAGCACAAGACGTTTGCTCAAAACAAACTAGTGCAAAACATGGCCTAACAAGTACGATTTCGACTATACACGGGCCTGTCTTAGAAAAGATGTGCACTAAAATGCGATTTAGACTAGTTTTTCTCTTCGACTTTATGGTCATTCTTGCGAGTCGATTGTATTGGTATTCTTATCGATTTCCCATCTCTTCTACTAAGTATATAAATCGAGATAAAAAGTTGGTTATGATATTCGAAATATCCTGAACTAAATATCGAATTTGAAATATCGAAAAATATCAAATTTAACAAGAATTATATATTCGATATGTTGCAAAACTAATTTCTGAAATAGATTGTTAACCTTTTCAAATTATATTACAAGATATATTAAATCAAATATCAATTAATCGCATATTTCTTTTTATTCTTCAGAATCATCGCCTTCGGGCAGTCCCAAGAAGCAGCGCCGACCCCTCTCGTTGGTCAGCGAGGGTAAGCCCTTGCCAGCCATTGCAGAGATCACGGAGCTGGTCTCGCTAAGCGATAACTCGCCCAAGACCTTTAAGCTGGCTCCCTACGGCCTGGCCGCCAAGAACAACAATGCGCTCGGCGAGGAGTACAAGATCGACCCGCAGTTGATCAAGAAGGCTGAGGATCTTTTGGGCAAGGCCAGCCTGGACAACACCGACCTGACCATCACTAGTCTGAACTTCATAGACGAGCAGCAGCAGCAGCAACACCAGCAGCAGATGAACGGACGCAAGTTGCAGGAGTGCTTTAAGCGGGTACAATCGCCCAAAGAGGAGCCAAAGGTACAAGCAAAACCCATTACATGCTTCCTACTAGTAAATTATTTTATAAACTAAGATTCACATAGATATAATTTTTTTTCAAGTAGAAAATATTTACTAATAGACGCATCTTATTTCTAATTTGCAATTGTAGCACAAGGGAAACGTAGGCGGTATGGATGTGGGAGTTGGTGCTGGTGCCAAGGCCACCAACAACAATCTGCAAGTGGTGGAGAGCGGCGGCAGCCTGGACTTGATGATCAGTTCCACACTATCGCCCAATTCAAGCAAGGTGCCGCTTATCGAGAGCAAGGAGGCCCTGAATGAGCAAGAGGACGAATTTAAGCGAGCGGCGGCTGCGGACGGACGAAGGACTAGCAGCGGCGAGGAGACCCAGGAGATCTCAATGCTTTTCTCGTTCCTCCAGATCCTGACGGCCACCTTTGGAAGCTTCGCGCACGGCGGCAATGATGTGAGCAATGCCATAGGCCCACTTATTGCCCTGTACATGATCTATCGCGAGGGCTCAGTTATGCAGCGGGCGGAAAGTCCCATCTACATACTTATTTACGGCGGTATCGGCATCTCCGTGGGTCTCTGGCTCTGGGGAAGGCGTGTCATCGAGACCATTGGCAATGACCTCACCAAAATTACTTCATCGACGTGAGTTTTCATTGATTTTATCTCTAAACGGGGTGGCGGTGTCCCAAATTAATGTAAAATAAAACAATGCAACAACGAATTTTGTCGCCATTATCATAAATTTAAACATTAATCAGATGGGAAGACAAATCATGCAAAATACAGTATTAATTTTAAAATTTATTTTTTACAGTGGCTTCACTATTGAAATTGGAGCTGCCATTACCGTACTGCTGGCCAGCAAAATTGGCTTGCCCATTTCGACCACTCACTGCAAGGTCGGTTCGGTGGTTTTCGTGGGTCACGTAAGTGCAGCGGGTCGCAAGAAAGGAAAGCCGAATGAACAGGATCAGATGCAACAGCCCGGACTGGAGAAGGAGACGCAGGAGGCACAGGACCATCCAACTGCTACGCCCATGGAAGATGGAAGTGTCGACTGGCACTTGTTCCGTAATATTGCCTATGCCTGGATTGTGACAGTACCGGTTACGGCTCTGCTTAGCGCCGGAATGATGTATGTGCTCTGTGCCATTGCTGTTGACGATATGGGCCAGGCCTAGAGGGGAGATCGAGGATGCGGTCAGAGCGTGCCATTCAATTATTAATTGTAGTTGCAAAACTAAAGTAACGTTTCGTAATTGTACAAGTTGGAAAACACAAAGCTTAAGATTAAACACGCAAGAGAAACAACACACAAGGAAAAGTGAAAAGTCTTAACAAAATTACTAAACTCGCGTAACTAAAACATTGTGTTTAGGTCATAGAACTTCTCTGAACCTAACTGATATTATTATTATTTAATATGTAATGCCGTGATTTGATTTTATAGTTTACCCGTCGAATTTTTTTCGCATCCCAACTCCACTCAAGATTTTGTAGACCTGGTCCGAACCCACTCAATATATTTTATAATTGCAATTATATCCATTAATAGAGCAGAGCAAAACACTTGAATAAAATACAAACTATGTACAACAACCAAGATTGTTTATATAAAACGCTGACGACCAGATTAAACTCAAGTGACTGAAGAGTCTCGGAATGCAACTCGATCGTTCATTGTAAAATGTCCTTTTTTGCTTCGGTTAAATATTATTCCAAAATACAATTAACGAGGCTCTCCAGTCCGTCTTAAATTTACATTCCATTGAGAGCCAGTTCGTAAAGTATTTCACTATGTAGATTTACGAAAAATAAATACAAAGTTATGACACTAAAACATCTCTTTCTTTACAACATTCAAAGTTTGAATTTCAAACGTTTTAATATACTTAACAGTTTTTTGGCCATGTGAACTGTATATCCCATACAGTCTAATCATAGAACCCGCCAACCGAGGAACAATTAACTGACTTCATTTAATATTGCGACTATAAGTAAATGTATTTGTAAGTAAAATTTAAGTAACAGAAGCGTAAGGTGATTGCATTGTGTCGTTTAGTCAAATCCTTTGAGTCTGTGGGGTTCGAATTCAATTGGATTAAATCCTGGTGGATCTCCTGCGGCGCCTGCCATTGGTACTTTGGCGACCATCGCGTCTCCGTCTACGCCTTACAACGGCCGGCCTTTTGATTTTCCTATGGGAATGGTATTTATGTTTCTGCGGTGTCTTCTTAGTAGAAGTTGAGGGAGTTGTGGTGGGAGCTACGGTGGTGGCATCTGAAGAGGAGCTGGCGGCGGTGGTTGCTGGGTCAGTTGTCGGGGCCGTGGTGGGAGTGGCCGCAGGATCCGTCGGGGTGGCGGTTGCTGGATCAGTTGGCGTGGCAGGAGCAGCTGGGTCAGTCGGAGTGTCGGCTGCCGAGGCAGTCGCAACGAGGGCCACGAGGCCGAGGAAGAGAGCTAGCCGGGATCGCATCTTGGAGTGTATGAAGTGTGTCTCTGACACTGTTGGGACTACAACATGTATTTTCAGCGAGATGACGGGGTATTTATATCCGAAATCGTACGGATTGGAAGATATATATTAGACTTGTTTGTCCCTTGCAAACAGTACAATTTGTACTTGTTTGTCGCGATTCAAGATGTGCCATCGAAATTTAGAACTGGGTTGTTGAAACAGACATCAGACCGTCTTTTTAAATAGCATCCGAACAATTGGATGAAATCTTTAATGCCAGCTTTGGCGATATATGATGTACAAATATTTAATTAAACTCAAGAAAGCTGGATTTAAAATGGGAAAAACCAAAAATTAGAGACCGTATTGCCTGTAATATCTTAGAATATCTCTAGAGTCTTCGACTTTATATACTCACAAAATTAAAAATCAGCTTATGATTGTCCGATTGTAAAAATTTATAAATGAAAAGGCATCGTTTATGAAAATCAATTGGTTCAAGATAATTATGATTGAAAGTGCAAAATAACGTTTTTTTGTGTTTTTTTGGCAAAATACCCAGTTTCAGTTTTAGATATCTGGTGAATTATATTTTTTCGAAATAAAAACTGTCTGTCTGCACCAAATATCCAAATATCCAAATATCACAGTATATAGCATTCCAATAAAACTTCTTACCAGCGTGTCGAATTGTAAAAAAGTTAAATTATTTGAAAATTATTAATGTCGTTACTAAAATGTAAGTCAGGCATTTTAATAGCTATCAAGGTGTCGTCACTTTCAACTCACCTCTTAAAGAGGTGTTTATGTTTTATATAATTTGAAACAATATTAGAGAGGTACTAGAGCAACGATAGGGAAAAAATATAACAAATGTACAAATGCCTTATTTTAAACATACTTCCATGTTTTATGTTACCTTATCTTATCTTTTTTTTCGATTTCAAACGTTAAAAAATTACGATTTTGACCTAACTAGCTTGTGTTACGTCGCCTGTTTATATCGTATATTAGACTTGCAGTAGGTGATTTTATTTCGAAATTTATACATATTTCGTATAAATACTGTTAATAAATAAATAAAAGTAATATATTACATTAAAAAAAAAGTTTCATTGTTCAAAATATATAGACAATTAGACCTAAGCTTAAGGAAATGGTGTGCTAATTAAATTCTTCAAATTTGTTGAGAGTAGTGTAAAACTTAATAAGGAAATTCCGTAGAAAACTGAACCTAAAACAACTGATACTTGCATTGAATTTTTGATCTATTATAACCAACATGAAAGGTCACTTTATAAATTTTGTATGTGGCGAAACGACTAACGTTAGCTTATTATTTGAATTGATAAATAACAAGAAAGGAGCTAACTTCGGCACGCCGAAGTTTATATACCCTTGCATATAGAACTTCTATGAATAGGAATCCATACAATTTAAATTATATATATTTGTGTTAAAAAACAATGAAGTAATACTTATATTTGCAGTTTTACATTCACTGATTTGCATTTTTCCTCCACATCAAACGATCTTTTGTATGGCACCTATATGATATAGTCGTCCAATTTTCATGAAATTTGACATCAAATTTAAGACTTATATAAAATGGCTATACCTTAAATTTGATGAAAATCAGCTAAAACCTGAAAAAGTTATAAATTTAATTGTATTAATTTCTCGATCGTTCCTATGGGAGCTAAATGATATAGTAGTCCGATTTTCATAAAATTGTATGCAAAATTGTAAAGTATAGTAAAATGGCTATATCTCAAATTTGATCCAATTCTATTGAAAACTGAAAAAGTTAAAATTTTTTTTGGAAAAATTTTCCGATCATTCCTATGGCAGTTATATTATATACGCGTCCGATCCGGTCCGTTCCAACATATATACGAGTGAGAGTATATAGAAGGCTAACTACAAAGTTTCATTCAGATAACTTCAAAACTGAGAGACTAGTTTGCGTAGAAACGGACAGACCGACAGACGGACAGACGAACAGAAGGACAGAAGGACAGACGGACAGACGGACATGGCTAGATCGACTCGGCTGTTGATCCTGATCAAGAATATATATACTTTTTATAGTCGGAGGTGCCTCCTTCACTGCGTTGCAAACTTCTGACTGAAATTATAATACCCTGCAAGGGTATAATAATAATAATATGATATTAATAACTTAACACTTGAACAATTTTCTCGAACAATTTTTCTTCAAAAATATTTACATCGTAACTGGGTCGGGTTTTCCTTTTACTTTTCTCCATTTTTAAAATAATATGAGTACCTCTAAAAAGGGGTTGTGCCAAATTTCAAAACTATTGGCTCAGCAGATTAAGAGTTATCTTGCGCCTAAAACTTTTTGATGCTCAAATGTCGGCCATTAAACCCACTTTTAAACGTAACAATTATGTACATTTCCATTGTACTACATTACATTTCAATTTCCACTACAGTAATACCAAAAACTATACACTTATACACCCTTTGGTAATACATACAATAATAAGACCAAGTTTGGAGAAAAAATTAATATAAAAAAAAAGAAATTAGGAATGGCGTTTGTTAAGGATCAAATAGTCTCGGGTCAACATATGACTTATATTCAAAGACATCTACTTTCATTAAAATAAGACTGAAGCTAAGGTCAATCTTATTGCAAAAATGTCTTATGTATAAGAAGTTTTTACTTTAATTTTAAGTTTTAATTTCACTTGACTTATACAATCTTGACCTAAACATGACTTCAAAGATTCGGTATGGGACTCTATTTCTACAAAATTGTGATAATTGTGATTGTGACAATAACATCAACTGGGACATATATTTGTATATAAAAATATTATCCGTCTAAGGAACAATCTGCCACATAGATATAAGACAATACGACAGGGTTGCAAATCAGCTTAAATTTTAAATTAAAGAATACTAACAGTAAAGTGAACAATAATTTAAAGATTATGATAAAATATGTATATATTTCCAAGTCCAGGTGACTAGTGCTACAATTATGAGTGTGAACTTGCTGCACCAGGATAATAAATAAACAAACTTAATTTAATTTAATACATACAAAGATGTATCAAAATTAAAAAAAAATGCTTTTGAGACAAAAATATGAAGATTGTTAAGTGACTAACCCATTCACTTAAATCACATTGAAAGCCTATGAATAAACTTATAGATAGGTTAAAACGGAAAATGCTTTTGTTACGAAATTCCAAATTCCATTACAGAAAAACTGCAAGACTTTAATTTGAGGAAAGTTTAAAATTGTATTAAAATAGTCCAAAGATAGAGGTGAATATTCGGCAGTTAATACAAATTTGTCAAAAATAAAATAAAACAATAGTAAAATCAGTAAAACTAAAGTTTTTCACACTAAAAGTGTTTTACTATGAACATTTGGAACCCGCTCTGAAGTAGAAATTAGTCGATAATATTTAAAAAGATTATACATTTAAAAAAAATATTTCAATTGAAGATGGTCAATCTCTAAATTTTCATTCTCATTCATCTCGTAGAGAATATTAGTACCACTGTCCTCGAACTGCACCAATTTATCGTCCTCCACGCTAATGACGACGCCTTAGATGATTAGATTCTTCTAAAAATATGCGCCAAATGGAGCCATCAGCCAGCTTTTAGGTCAGCTTAAAGCCGCCTTTTGACAACTTGAAAAAATTCTTGCGTTTGACCAGGCTGTCCACCCTTATAGGGGTGTTGGAACCTTTTCGAGGACCGCCTGGCATTGGAGTCGTAGTTTAAGCAGGATTAATGAAATAATTTTATTTTAGATTTCTACTATATTTAAATGTATGTAATTAAAACTAAAGTAACAAAAAAGCGTAAGCGTGTCGGTTAGTCAAATCCATTGAGTCTATGGGGATCGAATTTAATTGGATTAAATCCTGGTGGATCTCCTGCGGCGCCTGCCACTGGTACTTTGGCGACCATCGCGTCTCCGTCTACGCCTTACAACGGCCGGCCTTTTGATTTTTCTATGGGTATGGTATTTATGTTTTTGCGGTGTCTTCTTAGTAGAAGTTGAGGGAGTTGTGGTGGGAGCTACGGTGGTGGCATCTGAAGAGGAGCTGGCGGCGGTGGTTGCTGGGTCAGTTGTCGGGGCCGTGGTGGGAGTGGCCGCAGGATCCGTCGGGGTGGCGGTTGCTGGATCAGTTGGCGTGGCAGGAGCAGCTGGGTCAGTCGGAGTGTCGGCTGCCGAGGCAGTCGCAACGAGGGCCACGAGGCCGAGGAAGAGAGCTAGCCGGGATCGCATCTTGGAGTGTATGAAGTGTGTCTCTGACACTGTTGGGACTACAACATGTATTTTCAGCGAGATGACGGGGTATTTATATCCGAAATCGTACGGATTGGAAGATATATATTAGACTTGTTTGTCCCTTGCAAACAGTAAAATTTGTACTTGTTTGTCGCGATTCAAGATGTGCCATCGAAATTTAGAACTGGGTTGTTGAAACAGACATCAGACCGTCTTTTTAAATAGCATCCGAACAATTGGATGAAATCTTTAATGCCAGCTTTGGCGATATACGATGTACAAATATTTAATTAAACTCAAGAAAGCTGAATTTAAAATGGGAAAAACCAAAAATTAGAGACCGTAGGGCACTAAGAATTGCCTGTCATATCTTAGAATATCTCAAGAGTCGTCCTTGTTCTTACCTGACCAGCTTGTCTTGTGTGATCACTTAATTGTAATGTGTAATGATTGATGTCTAGGTCTAGGATCTTCGGTCACTAAGTAGAATATCTTCTACAGACTGAAGAAGTACCAGATTGTACTCATTCTCTATTGAATCTAGAAAAGTAGCTGCTCCCTTTCTATGTCCTTTGCTGTTCTCCTTAATAGTACTAAGTAATGTCTTATTTAGCTTGAATTTGCTTTAAATGTAAGTACTGCTGTCAAAACGAACTAAATTCTCAACTTTTCCCAATGATGATGTTTAAGCGTCTTTACTAGTCGTCACTTTTTATACCGTAGCAGGGGTATTATAATTTTAGTAACACTGTGAAGGAAGTGATTTCCTTATAGAGTATATACGTATTACTTCTATTACTTGCCTACCAAAACAAAGATTACAAAGTAAATCTAACAAAATTGGTTCGGTTATGTGTACGCTGCCGCTGTGGCCGCCAAGGCGGGTTCCATTCCAACGCTGGGAGCTGGCCTGGCCTTTGGAGCCCTGCTCGGCTCCGGTGCCCATCTGAATTCCCAGGACACGCCGCGTCCCCTGCTCCAACTGGAAACATCCCTGTTCCTGGCTGGATTAATGGGCTTGAGGTGGAACCGGTCCGGAAGCTACATATATACTACCTTCAGGATATTATTGGCAAACACTGCACCTAAAACATTCACTCGGCATTGGCAAAATGGGAAAACTAAGCTGTTCTTTGGTGCTGTTCAAGGACGATGCCTCTAGAGATATTCTATTCTATGATAGCCACCATCTATGATCTCTCATTTTGGTTATTTCCATTTTCTGCAGCTTTCTTGAGTTTAATTAAATAATTGTACATCATCTATCACCAAAGCTGGCATTAAAGATTTCATCCAATTGTTCGGATGCTATTTAAAAAGACAGTCTGGTATCTGTTTCAACAACCCAGTTCTAAATTTCGATGGCACATCTTGAATCGCGACAATCAAATACAAATTATTGTACTGTTTGCAAGGGACAAACAAGTGGGAAATATCTTCCAATCCGTACGATTTCGGATATAAATACCCCGTCATCTCGCTGAAAATACATGTTGTAGTCCCAACAGTGTCAGAGACACACTTCATACACTCCAAGATGCGATCCCGGCTAGCTCTCTTCCTCGGCCTCGTGGCCCTCGTTGCGACTGCCTTGGCAGCCGACACTCCGACTGACCCAGCTGCTCCTGCCACGCCAACTGATCCAGCAACCGCCACCCCGACGGATCCTGCGGCCACTCCCACCACGGCCCCGACAACTGACCCAGCAACCACCGCCGCCAGCTCCTCTTCAGATGCCACCACCGTAGCTCCCACCACAGCTCCCTCAACTTCTACTAAGAAGACACCGCAGAAACATAAATACCATGTACATAGGAAAATCAAAAGGCCGGCCGTTGTAAGGCGTAGACGGAGACGCGATGGTCGCCAAAGTACCAATGGCAGGCGCCGCAGGAGATCCACCAGGATTTAATCCAATTAAATTCGATCCCCACAGACTCAATGGATTTGACTAACCGACACGCTTACGCTTTTTTGTTACTTTAGTTTTAATTACATACATTTAAATATAGTAGAAATCTAAAATAAAATTATTTCATTAATCCTGCTTAAACTACGACTCCAATGCCAGGCGGTCCTCGAAAAGGTGCCAACACCCCTATAAGGGTGGACAGCCTGGTCAAACGCAAGAATTTTTTCAAGTTGTCAAAAGGCGGCTTTAAGCTGACCTAAAAGCTGGCTGATGGCTCCATTTGGCGCATATTTTTAGAAGAATCTAATCATCTAAGGCGTCGTCATTAGTGTGGAGGACGATGAATTGGTGCAGTTCGAGGACAGTGGTACTAATATTCTCTACGAGATGAATGAGAATGAAAATTTAGAGATTGACCATCTTCAATTAAAATATTTTTTTAAATGTATAATCTTTTTAAATATTATCGACTAATTTCTACTTCAGAGCGGGTTCCAAATGTTCATAGTAAAACACTTTTAGTGTGAAAAACTTTAGTTTTACTGATTTTACTATTGTTTTTTTGTTATTTTTGACAAATTTGTATTAACTGCCGAATATTCACCTCTATCTTTGGACTATTTTAATACAATTTTAAACTTTCCTCAAATTAAGTTTATTCATAGGTTTTCAATGTGATTTAAGTGAATGGGTTAGTCACTTAAAAATCTTTTTTGTCCCAAAAGCATTTTTTTAATTTTGATACATCTTTGTATGTATTAAATGAAATTAAGTGTGTTAATTTATTATCCTGGTGCAGCAAGTTCACACTCATAATTGTAGCACTAGTCACCTGGACTTGGAAATATATACATATTTTAACATAATCTTTAAATTATTGTTCACTTTACTGTAAGTATTCTTTAATTTAATATTTTTAGATTTGCAACCCTGTCGTATTGTCTTATATCTATGTGGCAGATTGTTCCTTAGACGGATAATATTTTTATATACAAATATATGTCCCAGTTGATGTTATTGTCACAATCACAATTATCACAATTTTGTAGAAATAGAGTCCCATACCGAATCTTTGAAGTCATGTTTAGGTCAAGATTGTATAAGTCAAGTGAAATTAAAACTTAAAATTAAAGTAAAAAACTTCTTATACATAAGACATTTTGCAATAAGATTGACCTTAGCTTCAGTTTTATTTTAATGAAAGTAGATGTCTTTGAATATAAATCATATGTTGACCCGAGACTATTTGATCCTTAACAAACGCCATTTCTATTTTTTTTTTTTTTATATTAATTTTTTCTGCAAACTTGATCTTATTATTGTATGTATTACCAAACGGTGTATAAGTGTATAGTCTTTGGTATTACTGTAGTGGAAATGGAAATGTAACGTAGTACAATGGAAATGTACATAATTGTTACGTTTAAAAGTGGGTTTAATGGCCGACATTTGAGCATCAAAAAGTTTTAGGTGTAAGATAACTCTAAATCTGCTGAGCCAATAGTTTTGAAATTTGGCACAACCCCTTTTTAGAGGTACTCATATTATTTAAAAAATGGAGAAAAGTAAAAGGAAAACCCAATTACGATGTAAATATTTTTGAAGAACAATTGTTCGAGAAAATTATTCAAGTGTTAAGTTATTAATATCATTGTATTATTATTATTATTTATCAATTCAAATAATAAGCTAACATTAGTCGTTTCGCCACACAAAGTGGCCTTCCATAAAAATTTTGATTATAATAGATCAAAAATTCAATCCAAGTATCAGTTGTTTTAGGTTTAGTTTTCTACGGAATTTCCTTATTAAGTTTTACACTACTCTCAACAAATTTGAAGAATTTAATTAGCACACCATTTCCTTAAACTTAGGTATAATTGTCTATATATATTTTGAACAATGAAACTTTTTTTTGAAGTAATATAATTACTTTTATTTATTTATTAACAGTATTTATACGAAATATGTATAAATTTCAAATTAACCTATCACCTACTACAAGTCTAATATACGATATAAACAGGCGACGTAACACTAGCTAGTTATCTGGTCAAAAACGTAAATTTTTAACATTTGAAATCGAAAAAAAAAGAAAAGATAACATAAAACATGGAAGTATGTTGAAAATAAGGTAGTTGTACATTTGTTATATTTTTTCCCTATCGTTGCCCTAATACCTCTCTAATATAGTTTCAAATTATATCAAACATAAACACCTCTTTAAGAAGTGAGTTGAAAGTGACGACACCTTGATAGCTATTAAAATGCCTGGTTTACATTTTAGTAACGACATTAATCACGTTAACCAAAAATAATTTGCAAATAATTCAACATTTTTACAATTCGACATGCTGGTAAAAAGTTTTATTGGAATGCTATATACTTTGCAGTTTAGTGTAAAAGGATATTTGATGCAGACAGACAGTTTTTATTTCGAAAAAATATAATTCACTAGATATCTAAAATTGAAACTGGGTATTTTGCCAAAAAAAAGCCCAAAAAACGTTATTTTGCACTTTCAATCATAATTATCTTGAACCAATTGATTTTCACAAACGATGCTTTTTCATTTATAAATTTTTACAATCGGACAATCATAAACTGATTTTTAATTTTTGTGAGTATATAAAGACGATGCCTCTAGAGATATTCTAAGATATGATAGCCACCATCTATGATCTCTCATTTTGGTTATTTCCATTTTCTGCAGCTTTTTCGAGTTTAATTAAATATTTGTACATCATATATCGCCAAAGCTGGCATTAAAGATTTCATCCAATTGTTCGGATGCTATTTAAAAAGACAGTCTGGTATCTGTTTCAACAACCCAGTTCTAAATTTCGATGGCACATCTTGAATCGCGGCAATCAAATACAAATTATTGTACTGTTTGCAAGGGACAAACAAGTGGGAAATATCTTCCAATCCGTAGGATTTCGGATATAAATACCCCGTCATCTCGCTGAAAATACATGTTGTAGTCCCAACAGTGTCAGAGACACACTTCATACACTCCAAGATGCGATCCCGGCTAGCTCTCTTCCTCGGCCTCGTGGCCCTCGTTGCGACTGCCTCGGCAGCCGACACTCCGACTGACCCAGCTGCTCCTGCCACGCCAACTGATCCAGCAACCGCCACCCCGACGGATCCTGCCGCCACTCCCACCACGGCCCCGACAACTGACCCAGCAACCACCGCCGCCAGCTCCTCTTCAGATGCCACCACCGTAGCTCCCACCACAACTCCCTCAACTTCTACTAAGAAGACACCGCAAAAACATAAATACCATACCCATAGAAAAATCAAAAGGCCGGCCGTTGTAAGGCGTAGACGGAGACGCGATGGTCGCCAAAGTACCAATGGCAGGCGCCGCAGGAGATCCACCAGGATTTAATCCAATTAAATTCGATCGCCACAGACTCAAAGGATCAATGCAATCACCTTACGCTTCTGTTACTTAAATTTTACTTACAAATACATTTACTTATAGTCGCAATATTAAATGAAGTCAGTTAATTGTTCCTGACTTGGTTGGTTCTAAGCTAAGTCGGTTAATTGTTCTTACCCGTAGGTCCTTGTATCTCTAAAACATTGGAAATATCCAGACATACAGATCTATACCTTTACTTTAGCGAGGAAATCCCCTTAAAATCGGCTGAACCGATTATACGGTTTGAGCATTTTAAATAGATTTTCCTTTTCTGATCGAAAAATCTTAAGCCTTTATATTCTATTAATTATTCTTTGTTCGTTATTTATTTATCAATTTAGGTCTAGATTAAACTTCGTTGTGAAATAATGTTTCATAAAATCCATATAGAATCTATGACTTTTTGATCTAGAAATAAATCTTGACCCCAGAATGTTTGGCATTAATTTGTCATTTAAATCTCGAATCAAGAATAAATTAAACAAATTGACCTCAAAGCCTACCTAAAATAATCCCAATATTAAATATTAATTATTAGTTTAGTTACATTGTAATTCATTTCATTTCATTTCATAAGAAAATGTATGTTATAATTTTGAAATTAGTAGCTTTCAAATTAAGCTCTCTAGTCTAAGTTGGTGCTTAGATTCACTACCTTTTTCCACTGGGAACTGTAAAACAGATCTTGACAGAGTTAGTGTGCAGCAACTGGCCTACTTCTTGGCTAAAGCCAAATTGCCAATGAAAGTTAAAAGCTGCTTAAAGCTGGCAACGGGCCAAGCTTTGAGCGAGGAACCGAGAGGCGGCATAGCCCGTA